TGATGATATATGGTGGGGATAATAATCAATGTAATGAAACAAGCTATATGAATGGTTGAATGTGAAGCTGATGATGTGCCCTGTAAACTTTCACTCAATGCAAAATAAAAACATTTAATTAAAAAAAAAAAATCTTAATTTCACTGTCATATTTGAGGGACAGCTTTGCAGGATATATGATTCTTTATTGGCAACATTTTTCTTTCAGAGTTTTGAATATACTATCCAATTGCCTTCTTGCCTGCATGGTTTCTGTTGAGAAACCAGAGCTTAATCTATTAGTTCTTCTTTTTAGGTAACTTCTCATTTTTCCTGAGCTGCTCTCAGGATTCTTTCCGTCTCTTTGGTTTTAAAAAGTTTGACTCGATATATCTTGGTGGTTTTCATTTGGGACCTATGCTGTTTGGGGTTCATTTAGCTTCTTATCTTTCATGATGTTAGAGAAGTTTTCTTCCAACAACTCTTCAACAATTTTCTCTGTACTTTTTATTGTCTCTTCCTGTTCTGGAATTCCAGCTGCCCATAAGTTATTTCTCTTCACAGTGTCCCACATAACTCTTAGGTTTTTTCAGAAAATTTCATTCTTTGTTTCTGATTGATCTTCTAGCATATTATTATTGAGAGATTTATTTTCAAGTTCACTAATTTGGGCTTCCATTGCTTCAAATCTACTCCTTTGCTCTTTCAATGTATTGTCCATTTCTGATATCTTAGTATTAATCTTCTGGATTTTTAATTGTAGGTTTTGTATTCTTTAAAAATTTGCATAACTTGGTTGTTTGTTAGTCTTCTGAAGTTTTTTTCTGTGTTCTCATTGTTTTCCTTGATTTTCATATCAATACTTTGAAGGTACTTAAATATCATTCTTTTGAATTCTTTTTCAGTTTTCTTCCTCAAAACACTTTCTGGTTCTGCATCTTGGTCATTTATTTGAGCCATATTCTCTTATTTCTTTGTTTGGGCTAAAACTGTGTGTTCTCTCCAGGATATTGTGGTATTGTATTTGTATTTAATTAATGATTATACATTTATTTGTTCTTAGGCTCTCATCAACTGTCTGCGGTCTCTATATGTCTGGAACTGAACTCGCCTTAATCCAGACCCCAAAGAAGAGTAGTCAGCCTCTGCCTTACACTGGTGTGGCTCACAACCACCCATGAGAGGAGGGTGGGAGCTGACCTCACCTTTGGTCACCAGGGGAGTGTAAGGAAAAAGAAGGAAATGCAGCTCCCCAGTGCTTTTGTGAATCTGTTCTACCATGCCACTTTCTTCTCACAAAGCTTCTCACAAAATTTCAAGATGGCTGTGCCATTCACCAGTCTGTCACCCTCTCTTGCTGTCCCTACTCAGCTTCTCCTACTGAGCAAGCACTCAGTCCACTTCTCTGAAGTCTTTTCCTCAGTCCTTTCCTCTGAAGTTCAAGATCCCAGGATTTTCATGTGTCTGTTTCACTTAGTCTCTTGGATCTTTGTTGTACATTCCTGGTGTAGTTCTGTAGAATAAGCACTAGACTGTTAACTACAAAGTTGGCAATTCAAACCCACCAGTAGCTCCTTGGAGATCCTATACAGGGTCACTATGTGTCAAAATTGACTCAACAACACTTAACAAAAACAACATCTTTGTTTTAGAGGGTTCATGTATAGAGTGCCTTCCTAGTCTGCCATCCTGCCAGAAGTCCTCTATCTTAAACATCTAAAATGCTAGAAGCTCACTTTGGAAGTGGGTGTCTCAGAAAGATGAGAAGAACCAGAAGAACAACTCAAATCTATGGTCCAGCCTCACCCTCCCAATTCCTAGAAGTTCTCTCTCCACTGCTGGAGAGTCTGTCCAAGCACTAATCAGAGGTGCCGGTGTGAGTTAAGTCACAAAAACAGAAGCCTTGAAGTACTATGGATTTACATTTCAGTTGCTTCTCACATGGACAACCAAATAATTCTCAAGCTGGTCCATCTTCAGGAATAAGGAAACAAAGGGTCCAGGAAACTGCTAATTGACCAGGCATAGATTGTTTGCTGACTTAGTGACAGGAACCCATTCACCTGGGGTATGTGTAAACAGGATAAATTGGGGGAGTGGGAAGGGGTATCTGTTTAAGTAGAAACCTTATAATAAGAATGCAACCATCATTTTGTGTACATCCTCCTCAAACAAAACAAAACAAAAAACAGAAGGAATAGAAGCAAATAGTGTTGAATGATGATGCACAGAGGGGATTGTAATCATTACAATGAAACCATGAGTGTAAAACTGATTGATGTTCTCCCATGTAACATATCATTCAATTCACAATAAAAACTTACAAAAAAAAAAAAAAAAAATAGAATGCATCCATCAAAAGGAAACAGGTGAGGCAGCATTCAACCGGCTGTTGTGGGAAACAGGCTTTCCACACTAGAACCATGGCCCAGTTTATCTGTAACCTGGTGGAGAAGGCTCCGGCGATGGTAAATGCTTCTGTGACTTACTTGAAGCCTCAGTTGGCCACATTTTGGCACTATGCCAAGGTGGAGCTGGTTCCTCCAACCCCTGCTGAGATCCCTACAGCCATTCAGAACCTGAAAAAAATAGTCAATAGTGCTAAAATTGGTCGCTTCAAACAGCTCACAGTTAAGAAAGCTCTGCTGAATGGTTTGGTGGCCACTGAGATGTGGCAAGTGTGGCATCATTGGCTTTGACATTTGAAGACCAATCTTTACCCCCTGATTATATTTGGTTTACTATTTGTTCTTGGACCATATGTGATCAGACTGCTATCTGAATAAAATAGATGATTATGAAAAAAAGGAAAACATGCACTATCCAGGAAGATGGTTCACCCCACTGTACTCAATCAATGAGGAACCAGGGGAGGGACTTTCAAAATAGGAAATAAGAAAAAATAGGAAATAAGAAAAAAAATAAAAGGGCCAGGCCATGCATCTACTGGGTTTGTCTTCTGTGTTTGGTGCCCTATTTTGCAAACTCGAATAATAAAGCCTCACTTTCTCTAAAAGGAGTACTGATTGGATTTCTTGGCATTCGTTGGTAAGCACTCGTGATAAGTCATTGGTGACCTCATATGGGATAAGTCTGTCTGCCTCAGTTCTTCCTGAGAAGACCCATTGGGGTAAGGTCCTAGTCAGTGGTTTATACCAACCTGCCAGTTACCAAGAGGAACCAATGTTCCTCACAAAACGAAGGTCTTCTCTGAAAACCTTCACTTAATTCACATTCAAATAAAACAAAACAAAACAAAACAAAACAAAACAAAACAACTAAGATGCTAATATTCATTCATTCAACATTCCATGCCAGAGCCAGGACTAAAAAGAGTCAGAATTAGGGTTTTGACAGTGCATAGTGGTGTGGCGTCGTGGGCTACTGTGTCATACTGCAAAGTCATTTGAACTGCAAGAGCAGTGGTTCAAGCTCACCAGATGCTCCTTGGAAACCCTATAACAGGGTCGCTATGGGTCGGAATCCTTGATGGCACTTCACAACAAGTGGTTACTAGGAGTCCTGGTGTGGTGCTGTGGGTTAATGCGCCAGACTGCAAAGCCGTTTGAACTGCAAGGTTCAGCAGTTCAAGCTCACCAGCTGCTCTTCGGAAACCCTATACAGGGTCGCTGTGGGTCTGAACCGACTCGACAGTACTTCACAACAACAAAATGGTTACTAATCGGGCTGTGAACCTCAAGGTCAGCAGTTCGAAACTACCAGTTGTTTCATGGGCGAAAGATGAGGTTTCTCTGTTCCCGTAAAGATTTACAGCCTCGGAAACCCTGTACAGGGTCTCTGAGTCGGAACCGACTCCACTGCACATAACAACAATAATCTTAAAACAAACGGTAAAACCAAGAAGCTATTTTTATTCTCCGTGTTTCCCACAATGTGAATGCCTTCTTGTTAAGAATCAAAAAGGTTTTAGTTTAAAAAGAAAATACTTTTCCTGGGAAAATGTCAGTCACCCTTCTGAGGGTGGAGGGGAAAGGGACTATGAGTCCACCCAACATTAGGTTGGTGGGTTCCCCGGGTTCCATTCCAGGGTTCTCCCAGGAAGCATCTTGTAATCCACGGTGCCTAGGATACCCGGAAGTGGAGGCTTCACGTTCTACTCAAGCCGAGCGATTTTTGTACACCCGCATGAAAGGAGGCCTACCAGAGACAAAGGGACACACTCACAACTACCTTGAGGGTATCCTCCGGCTCACAGCGATTGGCCCTCACAGAAGTCAGTCCGACCGACCCATCGTGCCGGAAACAGAAGGCGCTGGGCGGGCCGACGAGCTGACGCAGGGCCGGAAGTGGAAACTAGGTTCGGCGTTTTGGGTTTGGTGGGTTTCACGATGGCTGAGGCGGCTGAGTCGGTGGTGGGCAGCAAGGCTCGGGCGGCGCGCACAGTCCTGGGTCAGCTGGTGCTGCCGGGCGAGGAGCTGCTGTTGCCGGAGCAGGAGGACGCGGAAGGCCCTGGCGGTGCTGGAGAACGGCCACTACTCCTGAATCCCGGGACGCGATCGCGGGTGCGTGTAGTGTGCGGCCCGGGCTTGCGGCGCTGTGGAGACCGTATGCTGGTCACCAAATGCGGCCGCCTACGTCACAAGGAGCCCTCCGGCGGCGGCGGCGGAGTGTACTGGGTGGACTCGCAGCAGAAACGGGTGAGCTGGCGTGCGGCAGCGAGAGTGGCATCTCTGCCCTGGGAGAGGCTTCGCCTTCCACTGGGAGGGCGTCGTGGAGAGGCGCCTTCCACTGTGGAGATTGTGTGCATTTCTCCAGCTCTCGAGAGACCGAAAGCAACAGGAATGTGGTTTGAGAAGGGCGACCCTGGGGAGAAAGCCTAGTGGAAGCCTTAACATTTGTAAGAGGGTAAGCATTGTGACTTGTGGTCATTGTCTTCAAAGGTCAGGGAATAACTGAACTGCTCTTTGAGGCCCCAGAGGACAGAGCCAGGCTCAGTGAATGGATGTCTCAAGGAGTTAAATTTCTCTTAGAAAAGTTACGAACTTTCTTAGTAGACAGAACTGTCTAGTACCTGAAATAGCCTGTATGTGCAAGCAGGAGCCAGATTGTTTGATAAGGATGCTGAAGTGGGTATTCAGGTGTGGATGGAACTGACTACTAGAAATTGGAATTCCTGGTGTGGCACTGTAGGATAAGCACGGGACAGTTAATCGCAGGGTCAGAGGGTTGGTGGTTCAAACCTACTATCCGCTCCTTGGACACGCTGTACAGGGTCATTATGAGTTGGAACTAACTTGTCAATACTTAACAGCAATAACATGGCTGTTCTTTCGTTCTGTTTCCTTTTGTAGTATGTCCCAGTGAAAGGAGACCATGTGATTGGCATAGTGACAGCTAAATCTGGAGACATATTCAAAGTGGATGTTGGAGGGAGTGAGCCAGCGTCTTTGTCTTACTTGGCATTTGAAGGTGCAACTAAAAGAAACAGACCAAATGTGCAGGTAAGATGGAGACCTTTGGTTTTACAAGTATTAAAAAAAAAAAACAGAAACAAAAAAACTGATTACCTAGAATATGAAAATACCCAGGCTACTGAATTGTCTCCGAAGCATAACCACATTTCCCAGTTCTACAGGATGATCTCTGAACATCTGTTAAAATCACCAGTCACCAAGAGTTCCTTTGGGTGCTGTAGCTCCTGGACCAGGAGCTACAGCTAGACAAAAAAACATACGTTTTTTATGTTTGTGCCATTGGTTCTTGGGATATTATACCTTTACTATTTGAAAGGTTTGATCTCTTTATTTCCAGTATCCTGGGCACTAACCAAAGAAGTCAGCCATAGACTCAGAGAGCGAGGATAAACGGGGGCACAAATTGTCATTGTTGTTGTTGTTGAGTACCATGGAGTCGATTCTGACTCATAGCGACCCTGCACAGGGTTTCCGAGACTATAAATCTATACAGAAGCAGAACGCCTCATCTTTCTCCCGCGGAACTGCTGTTAGTTTCGAACTGCTGACCTTGAGGTTGGCAGCCTAATCGTAACCACTACGCTACCAGAGCTCACTCATTAGCCATCCATAAATGGGAATGGCATCTCGCAGCGTAGCCAGACTCTCTTTTGTTCATCTGAATCAGAACTTGAGTGATTTCTTGGCCCCTTTTAATTCAACTTGTGTTTTTGGTTACTTTATTGATTCTCTGACCTTCTCATTTCCACCCCTTTCCATTTTGTAAGTTCAGGCCTTGCTACCTGTTGATTGGACTTGGTCAATGACCTCATTAATATCCCTGTCTCCACACACTTGTCTCTCCATCCAAACTTTTCAGAGTGACATCCTCACAAACTTACCTCAAAACATAAATGGTTCTTTTAGAGATAGATTCCTTGGCACAACACTCAGGGGTCTTGCCTCATCCACAATTACATCATTCATGCAGCCATACTTAAACCACATCCGACTTTTAATAGAACCACTAAACCCACAAGGAGACCTGGTGTGGTGCTGAGAGTTAATGCACTGGACTGCAAAGTCAGTGTGAATCACAAGGTCAGCGGTCCAGGCTCACCAGCCACTCCTTGGAAACCCTCTACAGGGTTACTATGAGTTAGAAAAGACTTGATGGCACTTACCACCACCAACAAACCCATAAAGTAATTTCCTGCCTTTGTTCATGCTGTTCCCTCTGTTCCTTGAACCTTTGTTCATGCGATATCCTCTTCTCAATCTGTGGAGCATGTGCTCATTCATTGAAACCCAGACCAAATACCACCCTCTAAAGCCATTCCTCATCCTGAATTGGAGTCCTGCTGTGGCACTGTGAGATAAAGGATTGGACTGCAAGGTGGGTTTGAACCACAAAATCAGCGGTTCAGACTCACTAGCTGCTCCTTGGAAACCCGATGGTGTTCTGTTAAGAGCCATCAAGTCAGTTCCAGGGTTGCTATGAGTCAGAGTTGGAACTGACTCAACGGCACTTAACAATCATGAATCACTAACTTTTTTCTAGCACTTACTGGATTTAGCGTTTAATAAATTTTTTTCATATATACATCCAACTGCCCCCAAGACCAAATGGCTCTGAAGGGTAGGGACTGTTTTGTTTAACTGTAGTTCTCACAGTCAGTGTTTTGTTGAATAAACAGAATAAGTTTATTTCCTATTTTGAAGTTCATTTCTATAAGATTTTAAAGTAAACCTTGCATGGAGAAATTATCAGTGGCTTACCATTGCTCCAGCTATTGGCTTGAGTGATTTGCATGCCAGGAGTTCCTCCATCCATAAGTCTTCTGGAACTTCTTAGGGCAGTAGTATCTGAAAGCACTTTCTGCAATGCTGCTTATGTTATGTAGCTTCAGTAACCAGTATAGTAGCCCCCTGTGATTATTAAGTTCTGAAATGTGGCCAGTGCAATTGAGGAGTGGAATTAAATTACATTTTGATTAATTTATTTAATTTTAAATTAAATCTCAATCATTGCATGTAGTTAGTGGCTAACATAACGAAGAGTGCAGTCCTAGAAATGTGTTTCCTGGCCTTGAGATAGCTCCATTCTGGGCATTTCCTGGTGGGTAAAGATGCGTGGCATGTGTGTATATTTTGCCTTATTTCCAGACAGTGTAACTGGATCCTGAAATATAGTCAGTCCCTTAACCACAGAATTGTAGGTAGCTGGTGTTGCCCTTAGAATGATTTCCTGAGATGAAATTAACTGTTTATTATCATTGTAGGTTGGAGATCTCATCTATGGCCAATTTGTGGTTGCTAATAAAGACATGGAACCAGAGATGGTTTGTATTGACAGCTGTGGACGAGCCAATGGAATGGGTGTAATTGGACAGGATGGTCTGCTTTTTAAAGTGACTTTGGGCTTAATTAGAAAGTAAGTCCCGATGTCTACTGGCTTACTTGTCTCCTTTTACAATTATATTGTCTTGGAAAGCTGGCCAATTTTTGGGCTTTGGATTCTTCTTAGCAATATCTCAGTTTATCCTCAAAGCTAAAAATCAGTTTATCTGTTTTAGCAATTGGTAAAATCATTAATTTAGTCCTATCCCCTCTTAATTCACTTATGTGAATACATCCAATTCAGATGTAATGAGCTGTGTAGTTTCTAGTGTGTATGTGGGGCCTGGGCTGGTAACTTCATTCCTTAAACTTTTTGTGTCCTGTGTCTTTTCTCCCAGAAGGCTTGCTGTTCCTTTATAGCTGATATACTCAGCCCAGCTGTAAAAAACCAGCCTCCCTCCCCTCTCTGTTTAGAAAGCATTTGAATACAGATACAATTTAGAATTGAACAAAATCACCAAATTTCCCTCAATAATCAAGGAGACTGATGTGATCGTGCCCTTTGTAAGACATTTACAGAAGGCTTCTGGTAGATTTCAGAGTTCCTACTAAGGCAGATTCTCTTAGGTCTGCAGACCTTTACCCACTAAAAGCTGTGTCATATTAAAACTTGACTCCTAGAGCCACTAAAATTCTGACCTCTCTTATATATGCCTTTTCTTGCTACATTTTCTGTAGATTTGGGAGGCTTACTTTGGGACATAAGAAAATTATGTTTTTAACCAAACAATATCCTTATGGTCTGAAATACCCAATGCTTTTCTCTAAGGTGGAATTTGATACCAAGAGTAAGTTTAAAGTGTTTATTTTTTAACACTGTAATATAGTGAATATCCTAAAATCTAGAATTAAGGTGCTTTGACGATTTAGGGGGAGAACTGTATGGATTTTTTTTTGCAAAGTTGACATCACATGTTAGTCTGATTTCTTTGAAGGGTGAATCCACCATTGTGGCCTCTGGTATATTAGTAAATGTAAAGCTTCTTGAAGAAGGAGGCAGCAAAGGTAGTTATAAGCTTTTTTTCTTGGAATAACGGTGGGGTTTTGAAGAACTGCCCAGAAAAGGAGTCCCTTCTAAAGGCAAATCAGGACATACCCACTTTACTAGAATTTCATTTTCTTTCTCTTCTCCACTAGGCTTCTAGCTCCAGATTGTGAGATCATTCAGGAAGTGGGGAAACTCTATCCACTGGAGATCGTATTTGGAATGAATGGAAGAATATGGGTTAAGGCAAAAACAATTCAGCAGACTTTAATTTTGGCAAACATTTTGGAAGCTTGTGAACACATGACAACAGATCAAAGAAAACAAATCTTCTCTCGATTGGCTGAAAGCTGATAGATGTGGACTTTTTATGGGTCACTTGAACCAAGAGACTGGATTTCCTGGGGGAAACTTTTATTCAGGTGAGCCTCCACAACAAATATTCATTCATATGGCAACATGATTGTACATATTGTCTCATTGGTGTAATAAAATACTTTTTATAAGAAGTTATTGGTTGTTATACATGCTACTGTCACAAGGAGAAAATAATAAAATATTATGCTCTTTTTTCTTTACATAAATGTAATTAAAAGTTCTATTGGTTTATTTATTAAGTGTTAACTCCTTTGGTTTTTCTAGAATGTAGCTTTGATTATAAACTGGAAGTCAGCATTAAAGTCATGTCTGGTTATAATAGTAAACATGTTCACCAAAGAAACTACAAACATAAGCAAATCCTACCCCCTCCCCCCTGGATTATCATCATTAAGAGGGTAACAGCTAACAATTACTGTTTACTATGTGCTGAGTGTTTTTCCAAGTATTTTGTTTGAATTACCTCCTTTACCTAGTAATGCTATAGCTTTACCTAGTAATGCTATAGAAGACATCCTCATAACTGAGGAAACTGAAGCACAGTTTGGCTTGTCTACATTCTTAACCTCCATAGGTGTACATGTTTTTTAATATTGCCATTATATGATTATCCAATAAGCACAGGAAAGTGAATCATAAGGTCTGGTTCGAGTCCATCAGCTACTCCATGGGAGAAAGCTATAAGTCCTTATGCTTCCCCCCATGACAATTGTTCAAGGAGATGCTGGTGGGTTTGAACTGCTGACCTTAGTAGTCCAGTTCTTATCCAACAGCACCACACCAGGACTCCAATGGACTTTATATTATTGTTGTTAATTGCTATTGAGTCAGTTCTGACTCATGCCAACTTACAGTCTCCCAAGTCCACAGTCCTGGTGTGGCACTGGAGGATCAGCACTGGACCACTAACCACAAGGCTGGTGGTTCAAACCCACCAAACACTCTTTGGAAATCCTACACAGGGTTGCTCAGAGTTGGAACTGATCAACAGCATTCAACATGTAATAATTTTGTCCACTTCAAAGAACATTTAACAGTTCTTTGTTGTAAAAATTCAATAATTGTATCATTTATTCTCATAGGTTATTTTGGATATATCTAGTTTTTTTTTGGCTTATATAAGCAACACAATGATGAGCATCTCTGAATCCAAATGTGGGAAAATCTTACTTTACTTAAATCCTTTTCTAGAAGTCAAAGAATCTACCTGTTGAGATTGTGTGTATGTGTTGGGGGGGCGGGGGGGTAGTTCGTTTTGGTGCAGAGGATGGGGAAAGGCAATTCTTCATGGTATTTGGCATTTTATGTAAAGCCTTTATGGGTGAAGATGAAAACGGGCAGGTGATCCAGATCAATGGTTCTAGGTTCACAGGCTTCTCTGAGAATATGAGATTTATGGACTACCCCAAAGCATAAGAAATCCTTTTAGGATAATAGAGCTTATAGAACTCATTCAATATTATGGATTCCTAAAGATGTGTCCTATATAAAGCTGCTAACTGGTTTTTAAATGACTAAAAAGTCAATGATGTTGATTGATCAAGTGATAATAGCCCTTGTGGCATTAAGTTGGGATGAGAAGGAAAAGGAACAGAGAAGTATCCTTTTGTGATCCAGAATATATTTTCTGGTTTTTGCCAGCACAGTATTTTATAGAGGTTATTAACCCAAACTGTCAGGAGTAGAAGAGTATGTAGTAAGAGATTGCCTAACATGGTCATGTGCCAAAATGCAATGTATTTTCTGGCTATTTTTAAGTTAGGATGTTAACAATACTGTGACTTTAGTTTTTTATTTGATCTGTGACTCAGTCAACAAATATATATGAAGAATCTAGCTTGTATGAAGCTCAAAAGGAAATAAAGATATTCACCTGAATTATCCTGTTAGGGTCCTACCATAGGGAAGGGAGAGCAGTACCTCCACACTCATACTGAGAACATGGAAGAGCAGGGAAGAAACAATGCTTTGAGAGCTCTCAGTAGGGCGGGAGCAGGGCAGGCAGATCTGTAGAGCTTATGAACTGAGTGGGGGAGAATCAAGATGGTCAGAGGTGGCTGGAAAAAGCCAAAAAACTTAGAATAGTTTAGTGAAAATTAAACTTGTGGTGTAACAATTTTTAAGGCTTAAAAGTAGGTCTTTCACAAATACGTAAATGTATAAAAGACATCTAAAACCATGTAGTAGTTTGGGGACTAATTGCCTGTTAGTAAACTTATTTATGTAGTCAAAATATATCTGGGCACTTCCTGTGAGTCAGGCACTATGGGAGACACGAAAGCATAAAATGTGGTCCCTGACATTAGTAGCTTAACAATCCTGGTCAAGATCCAAGATGCTAAGTAAAGCTGAATGTGTGCCACTGCCTCCTTTGGCCACTGAACCCTGGCACTATTTCCAAAGACTTTGCTATGATCAGCCATTATCCATTAAAGATGCCCTTGAAATGAAACCTGTAGATAAGAATGTTCTATTCTCTTTGGTGTGTGTGCGTGTGTGTACACATGCACACTATTTTATATACAGAGTGTTGATAAGAAGATGGCTCCGTAATTATGAAGAGTTCTAGGAATAAAACAGGCCGAATGCAACACTTAACCAGGTGTGGTAAGAGATGGTGGACTGGCCCAAAGCCTCAGGAGGATAGGAAGACCTGACCTATGATCTTCTGACAACTGGAATTCTCATGAAATGGAAACAAGGCATAGTGAGAAAAAGAGGAAACTGAGGCAGGCCATCCAGAGACTGGGTCTTGATGCACACAGGGATGTGATAGAGTCGGAGACAGGAAAGGAGTGGAGAGGAAAAGCCACACTCCCACTAAAGCAAGAGCTCTGAGTGGTGGAAGTCCCTGTAGCACTGCCCACACGATGGAAGTGGTGCTAGGATTTGTGGGGGGCCTTCTGACAGCATACTACTCAGTTACTAGTTCAACATGAAGCCTAAGAAAACCTACTTAATGCCCCTGCTCAAGTGTAACAGTCACACAAGGGTTTGATATTAAGTAGTGGTTACGAGTCGGGCTGCCAACCTCAAGGTCAACAGTTTGAAACTACCAGTGGTCCCGCAGAAGAAAGATGAGGTGTTCTGCTCCTGTAAAGATTTACAGCTTGGAAACCCTTTGCAGGGTCACTATGAGCTGGAACCGACTCCACAATACTTAACAACAACAAATGGTAACTTCTCTCATCTTCAGTTATAGAGGACAACATGGCTTCTATATCGTCCAGAAGAGAATGTCATGACAAAACATACCAAACCACTCACTGGGGCAGGTCTCTAATGTGCCTTTGAGGGGGCCAACTCAGACCAGCAGTCTCAGCAAGCTCACAAGGTTATTGGCTCCTCTTAATTGCGGGCCATTCCTAATTTCACATCTGCTCCTAACTGTCTGATGGATAAGATGTCAGTGATGATCTACATGAGAAACCATTCTCATAGCCATATGGCAGGAAGGGAAGAGCAGGTGGAGGTAGGAGTAGCATGTACCCTAAATGTGGCATACAATACAGTTTCTCAAAATGTGGTTGTCAGACTACTTGTGTCAAAATCACTGGGGTAAACAACAAACACTAGTTTCTGGACTCCGCTTCAAAAGAAAACAAACCCATTGTCATCGAGCCTGTTCAGACCCATTAACAACTCTGCTGAAGAGAGTAGAAATGCCCCATAGTGTTTCCAAGGATGTCATCTCTACAGACGCAGATTGCCACATCTTTCTTCCACAGAGCAGCTGGTGGGTTGAAACTTCTAACCTTTTGATTGGATCCTGGACTCCGCTTCAGAAATCCTGGAAAGATGCGTTGAAAGAATGGTGTTTTTGCGTTAAACAAGCCTCAAGTGACTTAGCTGGTGAACTTCCTTCCTGAGGATGAGCTTTTCCTGGGTATTTTGAATCTTGGAGCTCAGCTAAGCAGCTTCCTCTGTATCCCTGGGATTCAGGAATCAGGCTGCCTAAGATCAAAATCTAAGCACCACTTTCTAGTGACTGATCCGAATCAAGTTTTTTGGTCTTTTTGAACCCTATTTTCTCATCTGTAAAACAAAAAACATAATCATGTAGTTCCTTCCTCATTGGGTTGTTGAGATAACAAAATGATACAAAATCCTTAGCATAATCTTTGGAACACAGTTACATGTTCAATGGATGTTAGCAAATATTAAGAAATGGAATTCCATAGGGAAATGGAAACTTCCCAAGCCCTTCTGCCTTTGATTTGGGCAGAAACTGCAAAAGTCAGTTGCTATAAAAGGTCTAACTTTATGGATTTATGGATAAGTTGGAAAAGGTCAGCACAGAAAAAAAATCAATCTAATTAATGTGTAATGTACCAAATGTCCACTCTCTTCCATGTTAGGATATGTAACAATGACTATTTGCTTTGGACACCACACACTATCACTAAATTCTCAAAACTGTGAAAGGCAGGTAATATGATTCCTCTTTCTTATTTAAGAAAACTGAGGCTGGGGAGTAAAAAATGAAGGCTGGCGCCACAGTGTCCCAAAACTCTGTAAATGTTAGAGCTGGGCTTTGGACCCATTTTCTGGCTCTAAATCCAAGCAGATGTCACCACAACATGCTGCTCTTGTGAGGGATCCAAAGCAGTATTACTGGCGTGAGACAGTGTGGCCGGTTGGTCCCCAGGCCATCAGAGGTTTCCCCTCACCACAAGAGTCATTCTTCCACTTCCAGCACTTTTCCTTCTGCAGCCAGTCCTAGGCTGTCCACTCCACTGAATTCTGAAGAACATAGCCTTTTCTGGAAGAAACTCCTTTCTTCAGTGCCTCAGGCCAGCTGTGAGTCTCAAAGTAAGTGGACAGGATATCAAACACTGTTAAAGGGTAAACAGAGAACACAGTGACCACAAGAATTTGAAAGGTAACTTGTTAATGTGCTGTGGAGTTGGTTCCGACTCATAGTGACCCTACACAGGGTTTCCGAGGCTGTAAATCTTTACCGGAGCATAAAGCTTCATCTTTCTCCCGAGGAACAGCTGGTAGTTTCGAACTGCTGACCTTGTGGTTCACAGCCCAATTCGTAACCACTGCGCTACCAGAGCTCCTTTGAAAGGTAACTAGTAGAAGACAAATGAGGAAAAGGGGGTTCTAGATTATCTCATTTAATAAACCTACTTGGGACCACATGTGGCACTCGGTTCTAGGGAGACAGCTGCAAACAGAGACATGGGCCTGCTATGGATTCAGCCCGTACTGAGAGAGCCAGGTTGGTGGATGGATGAGCTGCCACACAAAGACATACACTACAACTGGAAGGCGGGGTGCTGACCAGGCCTGGGACAATTTCAGTTATCTTTAACTGAATTAGGAAAAGAAATGGAGAATGCTTCTGAGTAGCCAGAATACATGTCCCAAGGTGCATATGAAAAAGTGACAGGAGACTGGGTCAGGGGCCAATGCCAGGAGGCAGCATGAGAGCCAACACCTGTGTTGGTGCAGGCCAGGTTAGCAGTACCTTGATTGATGGCCAGTATCTCTGAATGGTAGTTTCTTCTGTTTTGGCGTCTGACCATGTACTCCTGAATCGGCAAGCGGGCTGTCTGGACAGAGTGTTCTCGGGCCTTTTGAAATGTCACCTTCTGTCAACCACAATTCAATGTTTTTCTTATTATAAAAACAATACATGAATACACACTTAACTGTAATATGCCTAACACACAGTTGTTGGAGACCCTGAAGAGGGTTTCCAAGGCTGTAAATCTTTATGGGAACAGAAAGTCTCATCTTTACCCCGCGGAGCAGCTGGTAGTTTCGAACTGCTGACCTTGCAGTTCCCAGAGTGGAGACCCTTATTTCCTATCACTCCAGTTTCCAGTTGTTGATCATAATTGAAGGATAAATGTCCTGAAGTAGCATGTGGTTGGACGGAAGACACTGCAGATACTGAAGCATACCTACCTGCCACATGGCACTTATTTGGAGATCATTCATCAAGTAGCTTCCACTCACTACCACATCACATCCAAACAGAAAATAGGCACAAATCTGCTTGACAAAAGTCCAAAAAGTCTACAAAGGAATGTACCTCTGGCTCTAATTTAGACCATTATGACCCGATTCTGGATGCTTAGGTTTTTCAGCCAATTGACAGTAGCAAATTAGAGAAAAAGGTAGGATTCTAGATAAGTACACCATTGACAACAAGATGGGAGAAGAACAAACAGGCTAATTAAAAGTAAACCCACTATTGCTGAGTTAGTTATAACTAAAAGAGACCCTATAAGACAGAGTAAGGAGCTCTGGTAGTGTAGTGGTTACTAGTTGGGCTGCTAATCTCAAGGTCAGCAGTTCAAAACTACCAGTTCTGTAGGAGATAGATGAGGGTTTCTGCTCCTATAAAGCTTTACAACCACAGAAACCCTAAACATGGTCGCTATGAGTTGGAACCAACTCCACAGCATAGAACCACCACCAACCAAGACAGAACAGAACTGTCTTAGAGGGTTTCCTAGACTGTAAATCTTTATGGGAGCAGACAGCCCCTTTCCCACAGTGCGGCTGATGGGTTTGAATCACCAGGGTTCCTTAATTAAAAGAAAGGGCCATAAAAATTGGAAAATGGAGTTGCAAAAACTCAAAGGTCCAACAATCCAGACCATTTAGAGCCAGAGTACAGTAACCAATGTCCATTTATAAGACAGCCCTGAAACATACACTGAAGTTTAAATTATGTTCGCTACCTTGTAAGAAACACTGGAAAGATTGCCATGATTCTGTGATTTCACAATTAAAGGAAAAAGCTTATATTCCTGGGACAATTAACAACCTCAGTCTGGAAATGGGCCTCAAAGGTATGAGACATTTAATGTGATGGATAAGGACACTGTCTCTAGGTTCAAATCCTGCCTCTGCTACCTACGACATGCATATACAAAACATACAAACACATACTTGTCTGACCATAGAATATCTCAAGAAGAATACAAAGAAAAGTTAATGTGGTTCCATCTGGGGTGGGAGACTAGGGGACAAGGGTGGGAAGGAGGCTTATTTTGGTTGGTTTAACTATTAACATCATGTACATGCAAAAGAGGTTAATTAGTAAATAAAATTATCTTGACCAATATTTGTGTAAGAGAAACATATTTCAAAACTCCACTGACACCCTAGTTATTTCAATAAACCCAATTCAACAAAATATAAACAGTCCCATTGATTTGAGGTTATAGGAAAAGGCTTGAAGTCAGCGAAGAAGTTGGCTTGAGAAGAGCAAGTTATTCTCTTACAAAGAACAAACAGCTGATCAGCACGTTGCATCACTGTTTCCTTGGACAAGGCTAGAATGACCTGTGTAGAACTGAAGAGGGGAGAGAAGCAGCTTAGTGATGACTATTCACGTCATTACTCCCGTTTCCAATTCCCAACTCTTCATTCTGCTAGGCCTGGGAATTCTGACATTGCTGATGAGAGGAAGCTTCAGAAGAGGGAGTGCCACTAGGAAGAGTATGCTCCTGCTTCCCATTTCCTCTGAGCTTTTAGGGTCAGATGGGAGGGGGAACCCTCCAAAAGTAAGGTTCGCCTTTCAAAATACAGTTGGTGGACCTAAATGGTACACTCACCTTCTGAATGCTCTCGTCCACAAGTCCACCAAGAATGTAAACTTTGTTTAGATCAACATCTTCAAGCACTAATGAAAAAAACAAAGGCCATTTAGATTAACTGTTTTATAGAAGGAATTACTTTAAAATAGAAATATAATTAAATATAAAACAAAAAGATTGTACACTTGCTCAATAAAATGAAAAGCTGAATCTATAAACACTAATAAAATAGACAAAAGCTTTTGCATATACAAATAAGAAAAAATAAGTATCAGATCCAGATCAAAATTAGGATTCTGAAAGATAAAAATGAAAGATACACAAAAACGAGATAATTTGAAAGAAATGCCAAGATTAACTTAATACCAATAAATAAAAATTATGTAAAATGGTTAACTTTACAGTAAAATTGTTGTTATGTGCCATGGAGTCCGACTCATAGCGACCCAGTACAGGGTTTCCGAGGCTGTAAATCTTTACGGGAGCATAAAGCTTCCTCTTTCTCCCGCGGAACAGCTGGTAGTTTTGAACTGCTGACTTTGCGGTTCACAGCCCGATTCGTAACCACTATATATGTGTATATATATTACTATAATATATATATACACACACACACACTTTTTACTATCAAATCATCCATTTTTACATAATTAAAATATATATATATATATACATATACACACATAAGGAGTCCTGGTAGCATAGTAGATTACGAGCTGGGTTGCTAACCTATAGATCAGCAACTGAAATCTACCGGCCACTCCTTGGGAGAAAGATGAGAGGCTTTCTGCTCTTGTAAAGATCTGCATCCTCAGAACTGATGCCACCACACACAACCACCACCAGACACATACATACAAGGAGCCCAGGTGGTATTGCATAAGTACTAGTAAGTACTGAGCTGCTAAACTCAAGTTTAGCAGTTCAAACCCACCAGCTGCTCCATGGGAGAAAGAGGCTTTCTGCTCCCATGAAAGTTTACAGTCTTGGAAACCCTAGACAGGGTTACTGAGTCAGAATGGACTCAATGACAATGAGCTTATACCTACACATTCACAAAACACATGGTCCCAAAAAGGGTGGGTGGGGGCAACTGACGGCACTGGAAAGAGTCACCAGCAGTGTGAAAGGTCTGAGGATGGAGCCTCTGACTTGGTGCAGCTGTGTGCACATAGTAGGACATATGCACAGCATCCAGTGAGCTAACTACAATTATTAAGAGATGTGCAATTATCTTTGCCTTTAAAAAAAATTACTCCTTGTTATCATGACTGATTGTGATTGTTCCAACTGTAGAAGTAGAGGTTTTATAGCAAAAAGTGGGGAGTGGTTGATCTTGGCAGTCCAGGAGCAGAGGACCCTGGGACAATCAAGAAAGACGAGTGGGAGCAGAGTGTGGGACCGAATTCAGAGAAGCAGCCATGCCAGAGATGGAGGCAAAGATAATGATTTAGAGAGACAGAGGGGTTAGGGATTCTAGACTCATGGAGGGAGAGGGGCTGTATGCTGGTGGCCAGGGGGCAGGCTTGCAGGGTATGCCCTTCTGTTGTTTGAATGATTGTATATTCCTGAGTGTTTTGGTGTACAAAAAAAACACAAAAAAACAGAAAAACAAAAAACAAAAACAGAGGGAATAGAAGTAAATACTGTTGAATGATGATGCGTGGAGGGAGGGGATTGTGATGATTGCAATGAAACGAAATACAATAGGTAGGATGAGTGTAAAACTGATATGCTCCCATGTAAACTATCATTCAATTCACAATAAAAACTTAAAAGAAAAAAAATTACTCCCTGGCTTTACCAAATTTGGCCACAGGAAATATGAAAGGCTTGAGAACACTGCATTACATGAATCGATGCAGTGAGGTACATACCGTGTTCAGAGTCGGGAGTCAGGTACACAAGGGATTTCAGAGGAAATAAACTAAAGCAGTCTTCTTCTGTTACATCTAGCTGAAAAAGACAAATAATCCAGTGTAGTGGGAACTAGGTTAAGACAAACCCTACAATGCCACAACTTGCCACAGGACATTTCGTTTCTATCAGGCATGGCTGTAAGGGCACCAAAGGGCTACATGCATGCTAGCCACTGCTCACAAAGTGATCGGTTAAGAAGGTAATGGACAGCAAGTGACATAGGGCTCTAACAAAGGCACAAGGAGCAGGCCCCAGGACTGCAGATGAGGTGGTAACACTACCAGGGAGGCCCTTCTGATGAAGGTAACTGCCTAAACAAGGCACCAAGACAGAAGGCCTGGGGGCTATGTGGCCCTGCGAGTCTGCTGGGCTACGTATAGGAATCACACTAAGACACATGGAGAAGTAAAGCTGGCAATGGCTAAACTGCAGAAGAGACTGAAGACAGCAGCAGCAACACTAACTGCATAGCCCACAAGCTGCACCAGCCTCCCCACGGAAGGCCACAACTGGCATTTCTAGCAACATTTCTTAAGATTGATCTCAATGCTCACCTGCTAATCTATCATTGCATCTGTGAGATCCTAGGGAAAGAGCTGAAAGGAATTTCAGCACTTCTACCCTCAACTATGGGTCGGAACCGACTCGATGGCACTTAACAACAACAACAACAACCCTCATATGGACAAAGGTAATGAGGCTCAGAGAGGTGGGACCATTTGCATAAGATCACAACATAGACCTTGCCTTCCAAGCTAACTGGCTAAGGTCACTCAGAACAATGTCTCCCTCCCTCCTAAAGCTCACCTTAAATCCACATCACTTCCAAAAGGGTTCTTCCTCTTTCCCTAAAATTCAAGTTTGCCAGTTCTGCCCTGAAAGGAGCCATGGCATTTCCTAAAAGTTTATTCCTGGAGTATACAGTCTAGTATACAGTTTGCTGTTATTGTTAGGTCTCGTCAAGTCAACTGTGACACACAGCAACCCCAGGTGACAAGAGGAGACGTGCCCTTAGGGGTTTCCAAGTTGCAATTTTACTGGAGCAGATCACCAGATCTTTCTCCCGAGGAACTGCTGGGGGGTTTGAACTGCCAGCCTTTTCATTAGCAGCCCAGTGATTCATCATTGTGCCAACAAGCTTCCTATTGTATATAGTAGACAAGATACAAAATACACTCCTAAAGACAGGTAACACTGGTCTGTCATTGTAGTGGAAAGATGAGAAAAAATTATACATGTAAGAAATGATAAAAAGTTCTGAATTTTTAAGACTGTATATACTTTATGGAGTCATGGTGTGGCACTGCAGGATAATGCACGGGACTGCAAGGTTGGTTTGAACTGCATGGTTGGTGGTTCTAACTCACCAGCTCCTCAGAAACCCTATACAGGGTAATTATGAGTTGAAAACGACTCAATGGCATTTAGCAACAATAACATATGATTGATACGTATTTTTACATCAAACCATGAAAAAGTAAAAAGAAATGTTAATTTACTATTATCTCACAACTATTGTTCAGATAAGAATTCAAATATTATACAAAAAGAGACTTACCACGTAACTAGAAAATCCGTCATTCATCCTCAAGCACTCTTCATACAGGGCACTGTCTGTTGTGAGTCCAGCAAGGCAGATCCAAAAGGGCTTCTCAGCTTTTTTATTTGAACCATACAATCTTCGGATCTGTCCTGCCAGTCTACTTAATTCCTTCAAAGAAATATGGACAACTCAAGGTAAAAATGTGCTAACCCACTCTCCACTTATTGTCAGCAAATGATTTTGCTTATCAAGTTCGCTGAACGCAACTCAAGACCATCATTTTGCACCGGGTGTGAGTGTATGATGTGTGAGCACAGCAACCTTTCTGCTGACAATTAAGATGCTGTTGCTAGCCTAGAAACAGAGCGAGTTTATGGGAGAATTGGGGAGTCACCATAATTCTGGTCCCGCTCTCGTGCTGCGTCCCACAATTTCTAATATGAGTTTTTAATTGTTACTTTAATATTCACCTCAAAGCATACCAAGTGATGCTTACTATTTAAGTTGTCAAGAAGAGTTCAGAGTCACTACAGAGAAATGTTTACATTCCATCAGACAAACTTGGTACCTTCTCCCTAAGTCCACCCTGACTTCAGAGACAGCATCCTTAAAGAAGGTGACTTCACAGTCTAGCCTGACGTAATTCAGTACAGGGAAGAAAAGACTTTGGGGTTTGATTTCATCAGGTATCTTAAAAAATATAAACAGTAGAGAATTACTGGGTGATCTTTCTGGAGGGCTATAGTTAGAGGCTCCAGGTAATGATTCTAGACCTGCAGTTTTCCTAATTTCTCTGAAAAAACATGCACACACAACAAGGGGAAACAGAAAGATTTGTTTCAAGTTTACATATGTGGCAGGTATGTAACATTACCACCAGGTAACCATCTTACATCATGCAATTTGACAACTATCTGTCCCCAGCCCAGAAGACCCAACAGTTAGCCTCTGGAGAATTAAATCCGAATGAGTTTACCCAGACCGGAGACACCACAGAGAGAGGGAAAGGTTACTAGGCTCAAACCAGAAGGATACGGTCAAGATCTGCTGACTAAAGTGGAGGGTGTCTATTCTCCTTCAGGTTCTTTGCAGCAGTCATCTCAGAACTCAGTCGCTCAGGTTGAAAACCAAACACGTGAATCCCAGAAACGGGAGCTGGTCATGTTCTGTGTGAAAACTGCTGCTTTCTAGACCTCCCCCCTGCCAGCAGGAATGTGGGCTTTAGTGAATGTTCTACCTTCTTAGACATGTGGCTGGTCATACTCAAATCGATACAGAGTTTTGGTCCTGAGTGTCTGGCTTCCAAAAGTCTCTCTTTGGTCAAAGCTCTCAGAAAACGTTTGCTATGCTGGGGGCAGATGCCTAAAACAGAAACAGAAGCAAGGAATAAAAGTAGATAACAGAGAATTTTTTTTTTTTCACTTTTTACTGTGCAGTGAAGGTTTACAGGGAAGATCATCCGCTTTACATTCAACAAATCACACACTTTGTTTCATCTCAATGATTGCAATCCTTTCTATGCAATAACAGGATCCTACTTCCTCCCTGTGGGATTCCATTCCATCCTTCTTCTCATCCCTTTTCAACTTTGTCCTTAGGTAAAATGTTGCTCATTTGATCTTGGATGGTTGACCAACCCATGGTGAGCATACCTTACTAGTGTTGTTGTCCCCACTATACATCTATCTACTACTTGACTGAATGGAGTCCTGGTGACCTCAAGGTCGGCAGTTCAAACTCAACAGCTGCTCCTTGGAAACTCTATACAGGGTCGCTATGAGTCTACGACTCAATAGCACTTACAACAACTTGACTGAATACTGGGCCACAGAGCAGAGAAGTAATTTTCAGTAAGAAACAAATCTCTCCACCCAGGTGAGTACTTTTTTTTTTTTTTTTTTAAAAGAGAAACTTGGACTTGTACAAGGCATACAGTCACTAGATTTAGGTATGCCAGAGTGGGCTCTGGAGTTGACGGTTGGCTGAAACCCTAGTTCTCCATTTATTAACTGTATGATCTTGGGCATGCTATCTAATTTCTCTGAGCTTCAGTCTCTTTACCTACAAAACTGGGATTATAATAGTACCTAATTCCAAGGGTAATCCAAGTAAATTCTTAGCACTGAATCAATTACATAGTGCTGAATAATGCTAGCTGTTGTTGGTTATCATCTGTCCTATTTTTAAGCTCAGAAGCACTTATGTTCACTTTTTGTTGTTGTTGCAGCTAATATTTGAAAGGTAGCCTTACAGTTTGCTTTCTGTGGTACTGCATTGCTACCTTCCAGAAAACTAAAACCCTCCCAACGGGACAAATAAACCAATAAATGGAAAAGATTGAAGTTGTCAAAGATTTCATTTAACTTGGGTCCACAATCAATGCCCATGGAAGCAGCAGTTAACAACAACAAAAAAAATCAAATGGTAAATCTGTTACAAAAGACCTCTTTAAATGTTAAAGAGCAAAGATGTTACTTTGAGGACTAAGCCTGGTCCAAAGCCACCGTTATTTTTAATCACCTCATATGCATGTGAAAGCTGGACAAACAGTAGAAAAGATAGGAGAAGAACTGATGCATTTTAATTATGGTGTTGGTGGAAGCTATTGAATGCACCACAGACTGCCAGAAGAATAGACAAATCTCTCTTGTAAGTACAACTGAAACGTTCCTTTGAAGTGAGGACAGCAAGACTTTGTCTCACATATTTTGGACATATTATCAGGAGGGACCAGTCCCTGGAGAAGAACATTACGCTTGGTAAAGTAGAGGGTCAGTGGGAAAGAAAACCCTCAATGACACGGACTGACACAGTAGCTTCAATGGTGGACTCAAACACAGCCATGATTATGAGGGTGGTACAGGACTAGGCAGTGTTTTGTTCTGTTATAACACGGTCTCTATGAGTTGAAGTCATGGTATGGCATTGTAGGATAAGCTCTAGACTGCTAACCACAAGGATGAGAGGTCAAATCCACCAACTGCTGCTCAAAAACCCTATACAGGGTTGCTATGAGTCAAAACTGACTCAAAGGCACTTAACAACAATTACATTGAGCTGGAACCAACTAGATGGCACCAATAACAAAAAGTTTCCAGGTGTTTTTTACTTAAGCCATTTTCATTCTCTTAAAATACATAGATACTAGTTTGCAAAGAAATAAATATTAACCTAGTAATCTTAGTAATCTGGTTGATTAATTGGAGGAAGACTCATTAACAATATGCAATATGCAGATGACACAACCTTTCTTGCAGGACGTAAAGGTGGGCTCGGAATACTTACTAATGAAGACGGTGTTGTCAAAGCATACTGAAAGTACCAAGGACTGTAAGAAGAACAAACGAACATGGTCTGGGAAGATATACAGACAGAATGCTTCTAAGAAGTGAGAATAGTGAGACTTCATCTCATGTCTTCTGAACATTGTGGGGAGGGACCAGTCATGCTTGGTAAAGCGGAGGTTCAGAGAAAAGGAGGAAGATGTCCAACGAGATGGACTGACATAGTGATGGTAGCAATGGGCTCAAAGAACAATTATGAGATGGAGCAGAACAGGGCAGTGTTTTGTTCTGTTATGCATCGGGTCTCTATGAGTCCGAACCAATTTGCCAGCACCTAACAACAACAATCTGGTTTACTGTTACCTGGGTTTTCAGGACGATTGGCTTTTCGTCTTTCTTTTTCTTGCTTTCTTTTGTTCTTCTTTGCTGCAACTATCTTTTCCCAGTGTTTCTGTTTTCTTTGCACATTTTTCTTATATTATCCAGAAAACAAAATTGTTTGAGAACTTCATAAGCACCAAAAAAGGAAAATGAATATTAGAAACAGTTACTGCACTATTTACTTTCATTTAAAGTTAAGAAAAGGGACATTAGTCTTAAAAACAAGCCTACACTAGATTGTGTTTAGAGAAAACAAAGATTAATTCAGTACTTAAGATTTAGATTTCCTAACCCTTTTGATGTGTACAAAAACTCCTCTTGAGCTTTTCGTTTACTTTTCCTATGACTCAAATGACAGTCACCCTGTTGTCACAGCGGGTTTAAATGCTTGGCTGCTAACCTAAAGGTTGGTGAATCAAACCCACTAGTCAATCTGTGAGATACACATGTGTATTTTGTCTAACAGGGTCACTACGGATCCAAATGGACTGGATGGCACTGGGAATGTTTTCTTGTTATAGTCTGGTTCAAATGGAACTGAACCCCTAAACCAGTTCACCAGAAACACACAACACTCATTCCCAGCTTCTCTTTTTGTAACTGTTATCTGCTCTTAGAACAGGGATCTCTCATCATAAAGCCTAGGGCCCCTCACTGCACTCACCGAACACCAGGTGGTACCGTCTGTGAGCAGGGTCCTTCTCTCTGGACTCTCACAATCCAGGTCAATCTGCAGAAGCTGGAAGCTTTCAGAGATGCCATCGTCACCTGCATCCTCATGGATGCCTTCTTGGCCCAGCAACACGTGTGGCTCTGTTTTACATGTACTGCCTTCCAATTCCCAGTCAATGTGCTGTCCCCCGGGCCTCTGTGCTGTTCACCCAGATAGGAAAAAGTATGGTTACAAGATATGATGTTATTTCAAATATATGAGTATTTCCCTATGTCCAAATGACAAATATGTTAGATTGTATGTAAAACACTGACCCAAATTTATTGAACTGAGAAAGCATGTGTGACTTACAGAAAAATGAACCAGATATAGAAACATTCAGTAGTAAGGATTCCTGCGCCTTAACCAAGTTACTGACTGTGGTCTTTGAAATACACTGCATGATTTGATGGTGGGGCAGAGAGAGCAAAAGTCACCTCCATAATTATATTTCAAAGTTTATTTTCAAAATGAGTCCTTTAGCAAATGTTCACTGAGCACCTACTCTGTGTACAGTTCTGTACTAGAAACACATTGGAAGTATAACAAGGAAGCCAAATACCTAGGAGAATTTTCTAGGCTGTGTTGATATATTAGTTTTTAAACTACACATGCTCTGTTCCAATTCAGTTGAGTATCACTAAAGCAAAAAACCAGCCATCCATGGAGATGTTTAATATCCTATGCGAAGCACTATCACTTACTACTTAATAATACTTAACAAATGGCATTATAATTTCAAAGTGGAATTGAAAATCCCTGAGAAAGCATTAATGTGGAATCAGAAATGCTCTAGTTCGTGGTCACATGTCTCAAAGAATGATGTGACATTGTCTGTGCCTGGTCATCTGAGTTGTCACACTAAGTCTATCTTTAAAAATATAAACCAATGCAATCTCTCTGCATATAGTAAAAAAAGCTACTTATAATGAAAAGTAACAATCCTCACTCCTACCCTGTCTAACTCTTGTTGTTGTTGTTAAGTTGAATCAATTCTGACCCATAGCGACCCTGTATAGGGTTTCCAAGGAGCAGCTGGTGAGCTTGAACCACTGATGTTGCGGTTCAAATGACTTTGCAGTCTGTCAAATACACCCACAGCGCCACACCAGGACTCCAACCCTAGTGGCTAGTTAACCTGAAATCATATGCTTACATCATTATTTTTGACATATCAACTTTGAAATTCATTGACTCTAAAAACATGAGAACCCAAGTCACTTCAACTAGCCTTTGATTTAATTTTATTAGCTACCTTCGTCCACTGATCTGTCACTTTCTTGTACTGTGGTGACTCGTGTGTTGCTGAGATTCTGGAAGCTATACCACTGGGATTTTTAACACCTGCAGGGTCACCCATGGTGAACATGTTTCAGCAGAGATTCCGGATTAAGACAGACTAAACAGGAGAGTCAGACCACCTTTGTCTGAATGGTTTGTTGTTGTTATGTGCCATTGAGTTGGTGCCGACTCATAGCGACCCTATGCACAACAGAACGAAACACTGCCTAGTCCTAGGCCAACCTCACAAGTGTTGATATGCTTGAGCCCATTGATGCTGCCATTTTGCCAATCCATCTTGCTGGGCGTCTTCCTCTTTTTCTCTGACCCTCCACCTTACCAAACATGATAACCTTCTCCAGCAACTGGTCCCTCCTGACAATATGTCCGAAGTATGAAACACAAAGTCTGTCCATCGTGGCCTCCAAGCAGCACTCTAGCTGTACTTCTTCCAACACAGATGTTTGTTCTTTTGTCAGCCCACAGTACTTTCAATATTCTCCTCCAACATCTTAACTCAAATGTATCAATTCTTCTACGGTCTTCCTTATTCACTGTCCAGTTTTCACATACATATGAAGTTACCGAAAATACCATGGCTTGGGTCAAGCGCACCTCAGTCCTCAAGCTGACATCTTTGCTCTTCAACACTTTAAAAAGGTCTTGTGCAGTAGATTTGCCTAATGCAATGCGTCGTTTGATTTCTTGAATGCTGCTTCCATGAGTGTTGATGGTTGATCCAAGGAGAATGAAGTCTTTAACAGCTTCAATCTTTTCTCTGTTGATAATGTTGTTTATTGGTCCAGTGGTGAGGATTTTTGTTTTCTTGACATTGAGATGCAATCCGCATTGAAGGCTGTGGTCTGATGTTCATCAGTAAGTACTTTAAGTCCTCTTCACTTTCAGCAAGCAAATTCTGAAGAATAGATTTGATAAACACTAAAGACCGAAGACCAGAGGAGTTGTGGGATGCCATAAAGAACATCATACAGGAAGAAAGAAAAAAAAAAAAGAAGGAAAAGATAAAAATGGATATCACAAGAGGCACGGAAACTTGCTCTCCAGTGTAGAGATGCTAAAGCAAATGGAAAAAATGAGATACAAGAGATACAACAGAAAACTTCAAAGCTCAGCTCGAGAAGACAAAGTCAAATATTACAGTGAAATATGCAAAGATCTGGAGTCAGAAAAACAAAAGGAAAGAACACGCTCAGCATATCTCAAGCTGGGGAACTGAAGAAAAAATTCAAACCTCAACTTTTGTTATTGAAGGATTCTCTGGACAAATTATTGAATGGTACAGAATGCATCAAAAGAAGATAGAAATAATACAGAGAGACACTGTTTGGAGTTAGAATAAGTTTATTTAACTAATAAGACACTTGCCACCACTTTCCCTAAGTAATTGTACCACTTCACACTGCTGGCAGAAATGTATGAGCATTTCAGGTGCTCCACATTCATTGCTAACATTTGTTAAGGTTTTGAATTTTAGCCATTCTTGTGGAGTGAAGGCTCGTGTTTGCTTTTAATAACAGAAATTTATTTTTTCACAGCTCTTGAAGCTAAAAGTCCACATCAGGGTCTTGATCATGTCAGTTCCTTCCTTGTAGGTAGTTTCAGTTGTTCCTTGGCTTGTAGACAATTCTCACATGGCATGTTTTCCCCATGCATGCTTCTTATTATTATTGATATTGGACATTTTTCCATGTAGTTTTTTTTGGCTAATCCTAATATATCTCCCTTTGTGACCTATCTGTTCAAGTCTTTGCTTATTTAAAAATTACCTTTTTATTGCAGTGTTGAGTAGAAGTTTGTCATCTATTCAGGGTATATTCCATATGTAAAGTGAGACTATTCTCCTTTAATCTGTAGGTTGCCTATTCAATCTCAACATTGTCTTTGCTTTTCTTTTTAAATGAGGAAGAAGAAACAAATAAGCAACGCAAATAATTTATTTAGCTATTCTGTTCCATGCGGAACAAGGAACTCACCAGCTGCTCCTTGGAAACCCTGTACAGGGTCGTTGTGAGTTGCAACCGACTCGACGGCACGTAACAATCACAAAATGTTTGATAATTATGTCACTCTTGTACTAAGAATCCTATAGCTCCCCATCATTTCATGAGCAGTGAAAGCCAAACTTCTTAGTGGTCTTTGCTGTTTATTAAAGTCTAGCTTGCCACATCTATTTTTCTCTGCAGTACTTTGTTTCTTAAACACCCCAAGGCTTTTCCCCCCTCAGAACCTCTCCACTTGGTTTTAACCCCACCTCCAATGCTCTTACCTCATATATTGACAGGACTACCTTTGCACTTCATCCAGATTCTCACTATGCAACATGGCCTATATCTTATTTAAATTTTTGTTTGAACCTCCTCAACCCTTAGAATGTAAGCAAGAATTTCTGTTTGTTTGGGCCCTGGGATCATGCTGTCGGATAAACACTGGATTGCTAACTACAAGGTTAGCAGTTCAAATTGCTAACTACAAAGTCAGCGGCTCTATGGGAGAAAGATGAGGCTTTTGTTCCTGTAAAGATTTACAGCTTCAGAAACCCTATACGGGTTCGTTATGAGTCAGTACAGACTGGATGGCAGTGAGTTTGAGTTGTGTGCACTATAGTATTTCCCTGCTTTCTGGAGGATAAGCACTGGTTTGAATCCAACAGCCGCTATGAGGCTTTCTGCTCACGTAAAGAAAGATAGCCTCGGAAACCTATACAGGGATGCTAAGAGTCGGAAACGACTCAACGGTCCCTAACAACAACTTTTTTTAAAAAAAGGGCTTGGTTCACGGAACACATTGAATACATACTTGCTGAATCCTCCACTCCAGGATAGACCCTCAGGACCTTTTTAAACCAAGTCCCACCTGATGAGCATATACCCTGGCACTAAGTAAGGGACGAGCTTGTCTTTGCATGCCTCTCTCATTTTTTCATTCTAAGTTTTAGTCTACCGAATCTGCCTCCACTCCTTTAGCCCCTTCATCCCGAGAACATCTGGACCCCAGAGTACACCGCCTGTGGGTTCCGCCTGGTTCTCAGGCTGTAAGTGCGAGGGGAAGAGGAAAGGGAAAGAACCATGAAGATGGGGTACCCTGGACTAGGTAACTGTTAAATGCTGCTTCTCCGGCATCCGCCTCGCAGATAAGTGGCTGTCTTTAGCCGGGCCCCCAAACTCCTTAAACGAACCCCAGGTTTACCTGATTCCGTCATTTCACCCGGCGGCGGCAACGCACATTTAGCTCTGCCTCCGGGATCACTTCCGTTTCCTGGTCCCTGTCCGAACGGCATCCCGGGAATTGTAGTTTTCAGACTAGTTTATTTGTGTGCTGAGGGCCAGGGCGCAAGCTGGGGCTTCCAGGCCCGACCCTGGCACAAGGGAGCTGGTCCCTGTGGGAGTATTGATGTTACTCTGAATCTATTTCCTCAATTTCTCTATCAGTCTGTTAGATAACAATTGCAGTTCCAGGAGCTTTGTTGGTTGTCCAGAACGGAACACTGGAAACGGGATTGAAACCCTGACTGGAGCCCTTAATTCCGATGATGCCCTCACACTTGCTTACCAACAACCAACAGGGCCCCCTTGCTGATCTGGCCTTTTCCTGAGCACACAGTCCCTTTCCCCTTTCCTTGACTCTGTAGACTCACAACGCAGAGATACCGTGGTTTGGGCAGGCAGTCTAGCCTCTGGCCACTCTTCCCTTCTGGTCTCCCCATGCTGAGACTCAGAGAGATGAAGTTACTAGCCCAAGCTTAACTCCTATTAATGTAATGTAAGGTCTCTATGTAATGGGTTCTCACCATTACATAGAGACCTTACCAGGGATGCACCAGAAATATCTCCCACTCAAGAAAACTCAGTCCAGTTGGAGCTCTCCTTGGCCCCTCACTATTTTCCCCTTCATTTCCCACACCCTCTCGAATTTATGTGTCAGTCCTCTATCTAATACCAGAACACATTTTCAGATGCGAAAAAGAAACATTACCCCCCATAAGGCTTTTTTTTTGAGTCCTGGTGTGGTACAGCATTGGACTGCTAACCACCAACTGTTCCTTGGAAACCCTATGCAGGGTCACTATGACTCGACAGTGCTTAACAACAAGTCTTTTTAAAAGCCCAGATCTGATTTCTCTTCTCTGTTCAGAAGTTGGCCCAGGCTTCTCAGTGCCAGCTGAAATTCCTCAACAGAATATGCGCTTTGATTCAGTGTCTTTCAGGCATTAGGGCTCACCACACCTACCAATTCCTGTACCTCACACTCAGCAGTACGATGATCCTTCTCCCTTCCTGCCCCTCTGTGTCCCTCCCTGCCATGGCTTTATGCCGTTTCACCTCTGAATGAGCTCATGATTACTTCCCCTTGGAAAAGGGCTCCAAATTGGCTCACTGCTCCCTCTATCCCCACCCCATTCATATGCCAGATGTTTATGTTTCTTCCCTACTCCAAACCCCTCAGTGGCTCCCCGCTGTACCTGTGTATAAAGTCTAACCCCCTTCCTACCTGCCCCAGTCTCAGCTGCTACCGTAACTCATTGTTCATCCTACCTGCTGGGCTAGACACACTCATCTTCTTTAATTGCTTCAAATACATCCAGGGACCTTACAAAAGCTGTCCCCTTTCCTTTTACTTTTTCCATGACTGGTTTAAACATTCCCTCTTCAGAGAGGCCTTTACTGATCACCTGATCGGTTCATCCCACCCTTGTCTTGGTGGCGGTGGTGTATTGTCAAGTCGGTTCTGACTCATGGTGACCCTGCATAGGAATTCTGAGGCTGCAAAACTTTATGGAAATACAAAGCCTCATCATTCTCCCACAGAACCGTTAGTGGACTCAAACCACTGACCTTGTGGTTAACAACCAACATGTAATCTACTATGCTACCAGGATTCTTCCAGGAAGCACAGCAAATCCAGTGTCAGAAAGAAAACTTCCTTTCCACACAGCATATCCAGATCTACAATGAAGAACTCGGTGAAAGAAGATTCCCAGGTAGAAGACCCTCTTTGCTCTCATCTGTAGAGGTAAGGGAGATAATATCGGAAAGATACTGAGTCACTCTGCATAGTCCATTAACTGTCTTGGCACCCTTTTTATTTTCTTTATGCAACATTTTTTTTCTTGTGTCATTCCTATTAGACTATAAACTCTTTGAGAGGACCACATCTACCACGTTCATAGCTGTATACCCAGTACCACTGTGTAGTAAATATTTGTTGACAGAAAGAACAAGTGAATATTTTTTCTCCTTTTTTGCTACATCAAATCCTAGTTTTTTTCTCCACTAATGCAGGACCTGACACCCAGTAGATACTCAATAAGTACTTCTTGACATATAAGCATCCCTTGGCTATGAATGAGTTTTATTCCTAAATCCATCTTTAAGTCAAATTTGTCTGTAAGTCAGAACCATGAGGTACTATTGGTATCTGGCATTAGTTAGTCAAATATTTGTCTTGGTATGTAGTACATAGTGGAGTCTTGGTGTGGCGCTGTAGGATAAGCACTGGACCACAAGGTTGTTTGAACCACAAGGTTGGTGGTTCAAACTCACCAGCCACTCCTCGGAAACCCTAAGAGTTGGGTCCGACTTAACGGCACTTAGCAACAACAGTGTTGTTGTTAAGTGCCATCGAGTTGATTCTGACCCATAGCAACCCTGTATAGGATTTCCCAGGAGCAGCTGGTGAGCTTGAACCACTGACCTTGCAGTTCAAACGGCTTTGCAGTCTGGCGCATTAACCCACAGCGCCACACCAGGACTCCAGCAACAACAATAGTATTCTTAAAAAGAAAATATAATTCAATTTAAAGTAGGGTCTTAATGTTTGCCATTTTATACACTTAAAACAGAAATAGGGTACAAAATTAAAGGGTGCAGTCTATTTCAGATAAAACAGCACACCTGAATGGGGATGTCCAGGCAACTAAGGCGCTTACTGCCACCTAGTGGCAACCTCTGATGCTGCAGGGAAGGAGCCAGCAATGTCAAGTCTGGTGCAAACAAAACGCTGCAAACCAAGAGTAAGGTAGCCAGTTTCAGTTGTAAAAGTGGAGTTGATGCCAACTGTGACCACTCCATGTGTATCAGAATTGAACTGTGCTCCATAGGGTTTTTTTGAAGTACATCACCAGGACTTTCTTGCAAGGTGCCTCTGTTGTTGCTGTTGTTGTTAGGTGCCATTGAGTCGGTACCCTATGCACAACAGAACGAAACACTGCCTGGTCCTGGGCCAACCTCACAATTGTTGCCACGCTTGAGCCCACTGATGCTGCCACTTTGCCAGTCCACCTCGTTGGGTGTCTTCCTCTTTTTCTCCTACCCTCCACCTTACCAAACATGATCTCCTTCTCCAGCGACTGTTCCCTCCTGACCAAAGTATGAGACACGAAGATGCCTATGGGTAGACTTAAACTACCAATCTTTTGGTTAGCAACTGAGTAGCTTAATTATTTGCACCACCTAGGGATCCCAAAAGTTAGTAAATCAGTTGCTGTGGAGCTAATTCCAACTCATGGAATTAGCAACCCCATGTGTTTCAGAGTAGAATTGTGCTCTACAATAGTGAAGGTGTTGTTGTTAAGTGCTGTTGAGTTGGTTGCAATTCACAGCGACTCTGTATAGATTTCTGAGGTGGGTTTAAGTCTATCCAGAGGCACCTTGCAACATTGTGTTTTTCAGTGACCTCAGCCATCCTCCCTCACCCCTGCCTTCCTGAGACCAAGTTTGTGACTTCCTCTTTGCTTTCCATACATACTGAATGTTCTTTGTATAGTACACACTTTACGGATGGTATTGTATCTGTACGCCTAGAAGATCAGTAGGGGTCCTGATCATGGGATGGTCTTGTCTTAGTGACTTTTATATCCCAAGATCCTAGAACAAGGCCTGACAGAGAGAAGGTATCCAATGAAAGACTGCTGAATGAATATGAATGAATGCTTTGATTCAAACTTATCATTGCTCTAAATGATTCAGACCAAGATTAAGCAGCAGTTTATTGAATACTTTAAATAGTAAACATTTGTCAGAGTGGGGGCGATGGGAAGGGCTTCTCAGGAAATGTCCAGTGGGCTCTGAGCAGTTGGCCTGCTCACAGGGCAGTGGATGCCCGGAATTTATGGGTTAAACAGAATACAGAGGCCGTGAGGGCTGTGCACTGACGGGCCAAGAGTTTCACACTGAGGTCATGGTAACCTCTCTCGCAGGTCAGCTTAGCAGCCTCCACAAACTGGCAGTAGGTATACACCACGTCCCTCAGGTTCCCGGCCACCTCCCTGTGCCGGGCAGAGCAGCGGCTGCAGTCTGTGAACTGGAAGCACAGGCTGGCCAGCTGGACCAGGTGCTGGAAGGTGTGACGCACAGCACCCTGAATCTCTTCGGGGGATTGGTCCATTCTGATCACGTGCTGGCAGCTCGACAGGAGCTTCTGGGAGCCCATGCAGAGGCGGTTCCGGCTTTCAGAAAAGTGCCAGGTGCACTTCTCTGGGGGGTGTTTGTTCCCGTCTCCCCAGGAAGCTTTTAAAATGTCTTGCAGCTCGAGCAAGCTCTCTGTGAGTTGGGTGAAGCCCTCAGGGGCGTTAGTGGGGGCAGCTTCGAGCTGTGTCAGTGTCCTGGCGCAGTAATCAGGCCAGATGTTGCTCTTCCTCCACAGGGGTTCGGTGCTGCAGCTATGGGCCCGGGCAGGCCTCCAGGGAAGGGCCAGTTGGCTTCCTGCTGAGGGTGGGGAGGTGAGGGGAGCCGTGGGGTGTGCTCCTGAGTCCCTGTCTTCTTCCTCCATCTCAGGCTGTGGGCCACGGAAACATGTAGCATAGGAGAACTGGCAGCTACACTGTTCCATCCCAATCCTGGGTACCACGGTCTCATTCATGCCTGCAAAACCCACAGATGTGGCAATGCTAGGACTGGCAGACACATCAGGATGACTTCCAGGGACAAAACAGGGGAAAGATTTCTCAGTAGGAAGGCACACGCTAGGGCTTTTGCCTGTGCTGTCTGTCCATGAGCAGTGGTTTGAACCCTCTAAGCAGAGTTCCCCATGGTGACATGGGAGCGGATTTGGCAGCGAAGGCCCTGGGTTAAAACAGACTTGTGGAGGAGTGTCCACAGGGGCTGGTTTTTTTCCCATCATATGGTTAACCAGCACTGTCTCAACCCCCTCTGGAAGGAAGGCTGATGGAACAGTTTGGTCCCCAAGCAAGAAATCAGTTTCTAAATCCAACTCTGCCCATAATTTTTGCTCTTGGGTCTGATAGGCTTGGCCTAGAGATTCTCTGCTTTGTCCTTGAGGATCGCTAGGGGTGAGTGCTGGGGTTTGTTCAGTCCCTGTTACAGGCGCTTCCAAGGAGAGGGAGGCTATCACTTCACTAATGGGGGCCTGAGGAAGAGCATCTGACACGTCACATTTGGGCTCATCTGAATCCTTACCATTTTTGTTTGTTACTTTTCTGTGACTTTCCAAAGATAGCTGTCCTTGCGGCTCCTTCTTTTCTCCTGACTTTATTTCACACTCGCTATTTCTGAGCTGGTCTCCAGGAGACAACAGAGGTTCTGTGTATCTAGGGGTAGCTTCTTGCATATGATTTGTAAACAAAGATCCCAATCCTGTGTCCAACTGGACTGCTCTGAGCTCCAGTGTATCTCCCTGAGAGACAGTGTGTGGTCCTGAGCTGATGGCCAGGTAGGCCTTGTCTGGGGTAGGATCGGCACTGGAGAGGGAAGTGATGTTCTCAAGCTCTATGACCACTTCTCTGGGGACACTGTCATCTGGATCTTTAACTGAAGATAAGGTTTGGGAAGACCTTGCCTGGGCAGTATCAGGGTCACACAAACCTGGGTTGGAACTGTGAGGGGTGCTTGCTGGGGATTTGGCAACAGGAGCAGTCAAAGGGGCAACCCCAGAATTTTCTTTATGGTTGGGATCAATCCGGAGGCGAATGGCAGAAATAGAAGACACCTGAGAGTCAGTGACTGACTTGGTTTCCATGGTTTCGGGCTCCATCTCCATGACCCTGGAGGCTGGGTTTTTGCTTTGGGCCTCTCTCAGGGGGGCCAGGAGCCCTAGGGCCTTGGTCTCCAGAAGGCCAGGCTCTCCTTGCATGTCCTGCAGGGAGGACAGAGTTGGGGAGGGTGCACTGAGAGCCAGGTAGGGCTCCCTGTCATAGTAGCACACATCGTCCATGCTCTCCAGGGACGATGAGGGCATCATGGGAAATGAGACCTGTGAAGTATAGTCAGTCTGTAGGAAAGATCTTCTTTTCCTCAGGGTCCTGGCATACTTCTTCATTCCTCCCCTCCTGCTGGGCTCTCGTCCATCTGGCCCAGGATTCAAGCTGACCTTAGCGTTGCTAGTGCTGGCCTTACTCTGCAAGCTCATGCCATTGGATTCTACAGCAGAAACAGCACTGGGTCCTGAGTATCAAGAAAGAAACAAGAACTTAAAAAGTAGGAAAATAGAGATTTTATAGAGCATGAATTCAGGACTCGGCTGGACTGTGTAACTTGGGACAAATTAAATTACACTCTCCTCAGTGTCTGCATCTGAAAAGTGGGAATAATAATTGTAGTTGACATTAAACATTTTTTTGTTGTTGTTGCTCAAGATCTGTTTGTTGTCTTTTGGTTATAATACCTTAAATATCTTTTAGGGAATGGTGTCTCCCCACTGGTTACAGACTCTAGAACTACCAATGAAGGTGCCCTGTCCACTTAGCCAGGTGGTCAGACTTAGGACCCAGTAAATGGGCCACAATTTCCCTAGAATTTCCAACTTGAACACTTTGATTAAAATAACAGAAACCACAATATCCTGACCATATGGATGAGGAATCCTGTTACCCAGATTTCTGGTCTATAACCAATTCATCAGTGTTGCCAGCAATTCAGTAAGCTAACTTAAGTCCTTTAAAGACTTCTCTCAGTGCTTAAATTAACCCAAGTCATTTAGGACCAATGGTACCAATTGGTGCTCTCATGCAGATTAAATCCATCAGTGCATATAACATACCTAGCATGACGCCTGTCTAACACTCCTCTACCAGTCTGTCGTAATGTGGTGGCTTGCATGTTGCCATGATACTGGAAGCTATGCCATTGGTATTTTAAATACCACCAGGGTCACCCATCGTGGACAGATTTCAGAGGTGCTTCGAGACTAAGACAGACTAGGAAGAAGAAGAGGCATACTACTTGGGAATATTTAGCCACTGAAAACCTTATGAATAGCAACATTGTCAGATATAATTCTGGAAAATGAGAACATTATGAATAGCACCAGAATACTGTAGTGCTGCAGATGAGCTCTTCAGGTTGGAAGGCACTCAAACTATGACTTGGGAAGAGCTGCCTCCTCAAAGTAAAGTTGATGATGATAATGTGAATGGAGTAAAGCTTTCAGGACTTTCACTTGCTGATGGGGAGCAACTCAAAGTGAGGAGAAACAGCTGCAAACATCCATTTAGAATTGGAACACTAAACTTAGGAAGTATGACTGGGAAAATTGAAAGTTGTCAAAATTGAAATGGGATGCATAAAGATCTTCAGCATTGTAGGCTAATTTAAATCCTTTAAATACTTCTTTGTGTTTAAATTAACCCAAGTTATTTAACCCTAGGAATTAGTGAGCTGAAACTTTTTTTTTACTGGTGGTGGTGTGTTGTGTGGAGTCAGTTCCGACTCAGAGCCACCCTGCATAGGGTTTCTGAGGCTGTAAATCTTTACAGAAGCAGAAAGCCTCATCTTGGATGGCCACTTGCAAGCTTTTAAGATCCCAAGTACTACACAACAAACTAGGAGGTAGAACAGAAGCATAAAACATGCCATTAGGCCAATAACTGGGATGTTTCTTGAAAACATAATCCTAAACCTCCAAATAAAGGAACAAAACCCATGAGGTTTTTGACTGTATAAAAGCAGCCTCAGTAGCTACTGTGTGTGTGTGGGGGGGGGTGGGGGTCATCACTGTTATAAATGTATCACAGAGCTTTTGACAACCAACATTTTGTAGGTACCACATTTATTAACAGCAATTTCAAGAATTTGGCTGTGTAGCCCTATCCATAATAAACGCACTAATTTTCTCCACTAACCTCCCTCACCTTTCCTTCTCCCTTGCAATTGTTGATAAAGTTTGTTCTCTGCACATTTGCCTTTTCTTGGCATTTTATACAAGTGAGGTTATATAATATTTCTCCTTTTGTGATTGACTTATTTCACTCAGCCCTTATTAGAAACATATTAAATCTTAGACGGTTCTCTAGATCTCCTAAATCAGAATTGGTAATTGATTCTTAGGTAGGACCTAAGAATCTATAGTTTTAAAATAAGGTGCCTGGGGTGATTTTGATACCAGTCACATTTGGGAACTGCTGGGGGATCTCCTGTCCCCCATCACTTATAGCCACTGACCACAGGCACTTCTGAAGCCCAGAAAAGGAGGCTTCCCACTGTGAGTCAGAGCCAGACCAGAATCCAGGCTCACGAGTCCCACTGCTGGATCCTCTTTCCAGAACCACACTGGCTCTATGAAAAAGGAGTGTCCAGTGTCGGCATTATGGTCCTGACTAGACTCTGCTGGACAGTCTCTGTCACACCCCAGCCTGCCCGCAGCACTGTGCTGGTCCAGTAATTCAAGGCTAGGGACCTGGCTGGAGTTGACTGGGCTCTCTGGGAAGCAGTGCATAGTCTGTGCTTCCCCAGGGGCACAGGGCAGATGGTGGAGAGTTCATTCATTCACTTAGCAGCAATTTCCAGGCACTGCCTGCGGGCTATATAGTGATGAGTGAGATACACACAGGTCCTGCACGCAAAGGAGTTCACCCAGAAAGTGCAGTGAAACATCAATATATAATCACACAAAATACATGCTTAGAGACAATCTGAGTGACAGGCAGGAAAAACTCAGGGTGCTATAAGAATGTGGGACCTGCCCGCCTTGGGACCTATCCCTGGATGGGCACCAGAAAGTCCAGATCAAGGAGAAGAGCGTTTGAGGCAGAAAGAGCAACGTGTCTCAAGCCAGATGTGGGGAAGAGCGCAGCTCCAAGAATTCCAAAGAGGTCTGGGAGGCAGGAATACAGGGAGAGCTCAGGAGGAAAGAGAGAGACAGATAGCTCAGAGAACTCTGAAAGGCCCATGAAGGAGTGGAAACCACGGAAGGGGACGGAGTAGAAAATCAGAGCATGAGAAAAGGGCTGAACCAGAAGTCAATGGACTGCAGCTCTGGCAGGTCCTAGCAGGTCCCCCTCAGTGTCTATGTGGTATTTTCCCATTTTCACCCCTTCAGAGTAGTGGCGTGTCCTGCAAGAATCTCAGGTTGATTTGGAAATCCTTTCCATGTAACAAGAAACTCCGTATATTATGATGAGGAGTCTGAAAGAAACTTGGCCAACAGACCTTCGGCCTCTGATGTCAGAACCCTGTGGGCCCCCTGTGGCCTGTCTGTGAGGGTATTCTTGCTTCAAGGCCTCATTAAGTTTCCCTTCAGGGCCAGCACTACCACAGACACTTCCCTCTGCCGGCCACTTCTGACAACCCCTTTTCTTTCTCGGTAAATTCTGTTCATTTCATAAGGCCCAGCCCACTTGCCATATCTTCTGGGAAGTCCCCCTTTGACTGAACCCCTCCTACATCTGCTTATTCAGTTCTAGACTCTCTTGCATCCCTGACTAACAGCCATGATGTCAGGAATTTGGTCTACCCAGTCTAGGGCTGCCTCCTCAGTAGAGGACAAGGACACTGTTTGATTCATGTGCTTTCTCTGCAAGCTTGGTCCCGGCCCCCAGTGAGTATTCAGAAGCTGCCAGCAAATCTGCAGACCTGCTGGAGAGGGCTCACCTGAGAGGGTGTCCGGGGGGGTGAGCTTATCAGCTGCGTCATAGTATTCTTCATCAGAACTACCGTTCTCAAAGGCCAGCTGTAGGTGTGGTGCCTGGGCTTCCAGAGTAGAGCCAGACTGGGCCTCTGTCCAGTCCTGCTGCCCCCAGGTGGGTGGAGTCGCCCCCTGTCGGGAAGCCGTGCTCTCTGAGCTGTCACTCAAGTGGCTGGCCGGGGAGACGCTGGAGCACAGGTTGTAGTAGTCGGTCCTGCTGCCCTCATACAGTCGGGGGTCCAGCCTGATGGTGCTCAGTTCCGAGTTCCAGGTAAACATCTCAGGAGTGGGACTCTTGGAAAAGTCTGTCTTCTGGCACTGAGGACTGGCTGTCTGGGCCAGCTCCAGGAGACAGAGGAAGCCGCTGGTTTCAATCCTGCGTTTCTCCTCTTGGCTGTCAGAATCCAGACTCTCTGGGAAGCCTGATGAGCTAAGGTGGAAGAAGCTGGACCTGCTGGAGGAGCAGGCATCCAAATCGTCCTCTTCGAGCGCATCCATGGATTCACTTGAGCCGCTAGTTCTGCAGCCCCGGCTCTCAGTGTTAGCTGAATCGGATGCCTCAGACTCCACACTGTCTGTCACACTGCTGGTGCCACAGGTGCTCGGACCTCGACGGGCCACTTCAGGTGTGGTGCTGTCCACAGGAGGCCCCTCCTCTTTCACAACTGTTCTGCAGTGGACCAGCTTCCCCAGGTGTCTGTCCGAGAGAGGTTCTAGCACACAGTCAACTTCTGAGGACTCCTCTGAATCGCTGCAGGCCCTGGATTCATAGCCTATAACACAGAAGGTACAGGGGACACTGGGGGTTACAAAATCACATTCTGGGATTGGCAGATGCCGCCCCCAGCAGCCTGCTCCCCAGGGGCCCAGCTCTAAGAGAAGGTGCAGCAGGGCTGTGGCCGTGCCCCAGCACAGGTCTGCAAGAAGACCCCAGAAAGGGAGCAAAGCTTTCTTCCCTGTGTGCACCTGGTCCTCAATAAAGGCCTGGCCTCACATTTCTATGTGAAGAGCATTGTAACACAACAGTGTCTCTTACATGGCCTCTGGTCTCTTTGGGACAGCAACGCTTCTAGAGCCACTGTTTCATTAGATAATCACACCACTACCCTGGCTAAAAGGAGCTCTGGTAGCGTAGTGGTTACGCATCGGCCTGTGAACTGCCAGGTCGGCAGTTTGAAACTACCAGCTGTTCCACAGGAAAAAGATGAGGCGTTCTGCTCCCATAAAGATTTACACCTTCAGAAACCCTGTACAGGGGCTCTATGAGTCGGGACCGACTCCACGGCTCAACAATAACAACATCCCTGGCTGAATGACAGAATAGGGACTATCACCCCCATTTTCCAGATGAGAAGACTACAGTATTACTGGCCCAATAGCATGGCCTTCTGACTGACATAGGACCTGCAGTACTCCAAATCTCATGTTCTCCCAATAACACTAGGCCACTTTCCCAGCATCTATATGAAGTGCCCCAAGGAGATGGGATTCCAGCCTCATGGAGATCTGTGTTCATGGAAACACAATGAGAATTTCATTGTATTTCACTTTGTGTGGACAACATCACACGGGTATGGTTCCAGTCACCACAGAGAGCGTCTCACATGCCTCCATGTTGCTTTCTCTGCTTCAAGTGATGTCTCCTCCCTTCCTTGCCTGGTTAACTCCAACATGTCCTTCCAGATTTATTTTAAACCCCTTCTCTAGAACGCCTTCTCTGACTCCTGCTACCCACTCTGGCAGAAACGGCCCTTCCCTCCATCAGACCTTCACAGCACTGCTTCTGCTGATTCATTCTGTGTTGTCTCTGTGACTAGACTCTGAGGTACCATCTCTCAGACACTGCTGTATTCACATATGGGAGATTCCCTGTAGTTGCCTTCCAAGAGCAAGACTGGGGTACTCATGGTCATTATATCCCCCTCGGCCAGCGGATTGGAAAGGATGATGTCGCCAAAATATATGTGCAGACAGGTTCTGATTCACAGCCTGGCAAGATCAAAGGATAAACGCTGGATCTCAAGGTTGGCAGTTCAAACTCACCTGCCGCTCCTTGGAAACCCTATACAAGGTCGCTATGAACTGACTCAGTGGCACTTAACAACAACAGCACTTATCTGTTAAGAGTATTTTGGTAATTATTTGAGGGACACACCTGAAGCACTTGGCTCAGAGACTTGCGTGTGGTATTCAAAACATGTTAGCCATCTAAAAGAATATATACACACATACACACATTCGGACCGATTTTTAGATTTTTTGTTATATTTCATGGTCTATCTATTTCTGTTGTTGTTGTTAACTGATGTCAAGTTAGTTCTGACTCATAACAACCTTGTACAGGATTTCCAAGGAGAAGCTGGGTTTGAACTGCTGACCTTGTGGTTCGCAGTTCAGTGCTTATCCTGCAGTGCCACACCTGAAGTCTTCCTTGTAAGAGTATGGCTAGGATTCTATTACAGACAGCATTGTACTTCAAGGTAGATCTTGAGATACTCTTTCCAGTGTTTTGTTGTTGCTATAAAGTGTTGTTGAGTTGGATAACCCATAGGGTTTCCAAGTTACTGCCGGTGAGTTTGAACCACCAGCCTTGCAATTCAAACTAACCTTGGAGGCCAGTGCTTACCCTAGAGCACCACACCAGTGTTTGTTGTTGTTGTTAAGTGCTGTCGAGTCGGTTCCAACCCATAGCAACCCTGTACAGGGTTTCCAAGGACTGACTGGTGAGTTCGAACTGCCGACCCTGTGGTGCAGTGCCACACACACCAGGATGCCATACCAGTATTGTTGTTGTTATGTGCCCTGGCATCATCTCTAAATGATCCTGATGGCTTTACAGATGAGCTCTTTTAACCCTTCCATGACTTCATGCTATTAAGCCATCTCTAATACACAATTTTTTCTGTGGTTATAGGTCTGTTCAGATACCCTTCCTCATATTGGATGTTTTTACTAGAAACGTATTAATTTTGTCCAGAATTTCAATTTTATCATCATGGGTTTATCTACTGTATTCTCTTAAGGTTATTTAAATTTTGTTCATATCATTCAATATTTACTGAGCACATATTTAGTTTGTAAGTACCCAAGTGTTTCCCTAGTATCCAACTAAGGATACAATGATGACCAAGACAGTTCATATCCATGGATTTGTTCGTGAGAAATACTCTAAAATCAAGGAAAAGCTATATGTATAGTTTATCTTTTTCTATCCTTGTGTGGTTTGTTTAGTTTTCTTTCTAGTTGTCTTCATTAGACTTGCCAAATGTTTATTTAGACTTTTCATAATACCATGGGTTGCCATCAGAAGAATGAATTTTTCATATATACCATGGACTGAAAGAAATGTAGCCAGAATGTTCCTTAAAAGTATGGATGGCAAAACATAGTCTCATGTACTTGTACATATTATTGGCAGAGACCAGTCCCTGGAGGAGGACATCATGCTTGGTAAAGTATGGGAATGCCTGGTAAAGAAGATCAGCGAAAAAGAACAAGACCCTCCATGAGATGAACTGATATAGTGGTTGCAACAATGGGCTCAACTATGACAACAATTGTGAGAATGAAGTAGGCCTGACCAGTAATTCATCCTGATGTGCCTGGGGGAGCTATGAGTCAGGCTGATTTGACAGCATCTAACAACAACAAGGATAGCCAAACTTTGTCTCTCATATGTCGGACATATTGTCAGGAGGGACCAGTTGCTGGAGAAGGATATCATGTTTGGAAAGGTAGAGGGTCAGAGAAGAAGATGAAGACTCCCAACGAGATGGATTGGCAATATGGCAGCATCAATGGGCTCAAGCGTGGCAACAATAGTGAGGTTGGCCCAGGACCGGGCAGTGTTTCATTCTGTTGTACATAGGGTCACTATGAGTTGGTACCGACTCAATGGCACCTAACAACAACAATAACAACATTTGCTAATTTCTGCTTTCAATTTTTTACAATGATCTCTTATTTTCGTTGTGTTGCTTTATTATCTCATATTTTCTTATTTAAATGTTTGGTTCCTCATTTTTCCTCTTTCTTATTTAATAATTAAAAAATATATTCCTTTGAGTACTTCTGTGGCCAAATCCTATAAAATGCAAATTACTTTTCCAAAAAATATCTCATTGAAGAAATTATCATTGTTCATTTACTCTACTGTTCTGTGTACTGAAGAACCAGGTAATGGGATGAAGGAAGAATTCCGTGGTATGGGTGAAGTCGACTCATCAGTTCACACAATTTGAATTCTTAAATTTCAAGAATTTTTCTAGTTTATTATTAAACATGACCATTAAAAAAGTAAATATATAAACTTATAAGTAAATCAATCATATTAAAACAAATGTACTAAGTACTCAATACTCATCTCTTCCTATCTATTTTATTATCATCTGTGCTCGTGAGGAGATTTACTTTACCTGGTGTGGTGCTGTAGCATAAGTATTAGACTAGTAACTGAAAGGTTCAAACCCACCAGCCACTTCTTGGAACCCTATACAGGATCGTTATGAGTCAGAACCAACTTGACGGTACTTCACAACAACGACAACAGGAGGAGGAAATACTATGTAATGGCCTGCTGCTACGTATGTCTTCTCCATATCATGTTCAGTGACATCACATGGGCAGCTTGAAATTGGGAGTATTTATACCACAGAAATAGACAATTGCTTCAGAACAGGATTTTTATTTCCCTGCAGATCCTGTTGTCAACATTGATCAGCATACCACTGGGAAGACGCTGCATCAATAGTGTTGAAGGCATGCTGATAGAAACTGGGAGCTGACCCAGGAAGCTGTTCATCTTCTTCGTTCTTTATATGATGTGATTTCAAGTTCCTTCTATCTCAGTTACCTCATTTCTAAACATGTAAGATTGAGGATTTCTACAATAATTCAATCCAATGCAAAACAGAGCACATAGGCATGGATGGAGCTCAGTCATCTGTTTTTTTTTGCTGGGAAATAATGGTAAAATACAGTGGATCGTAGAGACGGTTTTAGGAAATGTTAGAGGCGATCAGAGATCTTGAACAGTATTCCTTGACTTTAAGATACTTTCGTTGTTGTTGTTGTTGTTAAGTGCTATAGAGTCGGTTCCAACTCACAGTGTTTCTGCATTGGGTTTCCAAGGAGAGGCTGATGTTTGACTGGCTGACCTTGTGGTTCAAACTGACCTTGTGGTCCAGTGCTTATCCCATAGTGCCACATCAGGATTCCTTAAAAAACTTATAGGTACCAAAAAAAAAAAAAATCCTTCTTTAGCCCCAGTGGTTTAAGAAAGATCAACTGTTCTAAAAATCAGATAAAAAAAAAATAGCTCTTATCCACTTAAGGTGAATGTGTTTGAAGTCTCATCTCGACTCAATTCAGTCTCTCCTTAGGTTGTCCTTACCCACAAGGCCAATGAAACGAACCTGTCCTTACTGGGGTCAAGACTCAGTACCTCACCTTCTTCAGCAGATAGCCGGTGCACCTGCTGTTTATTTCCAGGCCAGAGGAAAATGGAGGTAACTGGGTCGACAAACAGTCTGTAGTATCCAGCAATCTGGCAGGCGAGGTCTTTTGCACTGTTGGACTCCAGCAGCAAAGTCAGAACCTTTAAAGGTAAAGAAATATCTTGTGTATAAAGGGTTGAGAGACCATTTGAAGACTGACACCGAGGCCATGCAGAGTCAACGAAAGATTCCAATTACGGCCCAGTTATGGTCCACAGGCAGGTCTTCTGGTCCCACCCCTGCCCCAGTCTCACCTACATCTGCTTTCTACATGTCTCCTGACTCTCCTGCATCCTCAACTCCCAGGTCCCCATCCCAACCACTCAGTCCCTCCATGTTCATTTACACACTGGGCCCCTTTCAAGGTCTGATCTACAGAAGGAAAAGGAGCAGCATCAAGTGGAGGCTGATAATAACAATAAAGCACCAGTCTTGAGTATGTTGGAATTAGTTCAAAAGAGGTCAGGATAAATAAATGTAGGCCCCTTTAGAGGGGCTTAGGAGGTAACCTGCACCATTCACAGAATAGCCTGGACAGCTAGTCTGTGACTACACATGAGATAAAATCCTCTGTTGCTCCCATCCAAGTTTCTGAATCCAACTGAAACTTTTCCATCAGGAAAGCACATGGTCCAGCCAATTTATACAAAGAAACCTTTCAGGGCCTGCTCAAAAAAAGTACCTTATATAGGAAAGTTTTCCTCTTATGAAACAAGATGGACAATCTATCCTTCCAAGCAAATATTGGACATTAGATTTTACCATTACTTAAAAATCATAAATGTTCCCATACTTATTTAGCCTCAAATTCAAGAAGCTGGAGTCAGACTCAATCCCTTCATAGTACCTTGACATCCTGAAGATACACTTTGACCATGCTCACTTTCTCAGACTCTTCTGTAAGCTCTACGCGGCTGATGTTTGCAAACTCTGCCAACGTGGACATGATATTGAGCTTGCTATTGATAATTTGGCTAATCCCATACTTAGCTCCAACTAGCAGGGCGATGTAGGATTCTCTATCCTGTAACTGTACAAGGGTGGAAGGGAGATTAGTTTCCATTCATAAGCTAGTGAAAATACATCACACATGTAATAGCCCTGTGTCTCTGTCATAGCTCTGAGAACCTTCTGCTTTGTCTTGTTAAATACCTTATTTCATCCTCAGATCCTCTGAAGGTGAGAATCAGGTTGGATTCAGCTCACAGGACTGGCACCAAGCAAGAACATGATAAACACTCACCAAAGTCTTAATAATTAATGTCTCAAACAAATCCCAGTATATGACAGAGTCCTTAGAAATTTAAGTTAAAAGTTAAATAGATTTTTAGAGGACCTCTAAGGTCCCTTATAACAGTAGTGGTGATGGTGGTGGTCGTGGTGATGTGCCATGGAGTTGGCTCTGACTCATAATGACCTTGTATAAGGTTTCTAATGCTGCCAATCTTTACAGCATCACAAAGCCTCATCTTTCTCCCGTGGAGCACATGAGAGATTCAATTTGCTGACCTTGTGGTTACCAGCGTAACCCACTACACTACCAGGGGTCTGCTTATCCTGGTACAATTTCACAATTCTCTAATACGTACCATTAAAGTAGCATTGAAGACTTTCCCACCGTATGTCTTGAGTTCTCCAAGGATCTGTAGATAATTTAAGCGTAGCTGGGCAGCAGAAATAAGTTGCTTAAATAGAAAAAATAAATAAACAAGATTGTTGAAGTCAGAGTTGGTCAGTTGCCTAAAGTTCCTGCAACATTGAAACTGCTCTCCCAGAGGGTTCATAATGGAAATTTGGGTGAGTCCACAGAGGTGATGTCTACATTACCTTCTGTCGGGGTTCCAGCAAATTCTGGTTCCTCTTCATGTGGAAGCTAATGGCTTTCTTGATGTCTTTGCCTTTCATGTTTCGAAGTAAAGTTGGAGATATAAAGTTCTCTATTCCCCAGTCTTTCCTGCCATGAGACATTGGAGACAATGAAGCCCATTTTTACAGGGTACTTAGCTTTAATGAAGAGCATAATTACATTTGATTCAGTACTTAGTGTTCCCACAAGACTGCAATTATAAGTCTCTTTCTCCAGCAGAAGGAAAATCTATATTCTTCACAAGCATGCACATGTGTATATACATACAGTTCACAAATATCATAGCCACTGAGGAATTAAACTCTACTGACCATTTTGGGAGCTCGTAACTCCTGGTATGGTGTGATGCTCTATTACAGCAGAAATTCTGAGTAATGAGAAAAACAGTGACCTTGGAGAAAACAACACCAGTGGTCTCCCAAATCAGGCTTTGGAATGATGCGAACTGAGCACTCCCAAGACTCCTTTTAAAAAATATGACTTCTCTGGTCCTACTTCTTAGATTTGACTCAGTACTGTAGGGATAGTCCAAGGAGCTATTCTATTTTTTTAAACATGAGTCTCCATGTGATTTCTGTGTCCAGAAATTTACAAACTACAATTTGTAAGAGGGTTAGCAAGCATGAGTGATCACAGCAAAGTGAAATCTTAAGTTGAGAATCAAGAGGTGTTGGAATCCTAGGACCTGAAATGGTCCCAGTGTGGTAGTACAATAGAAATTGGTTCATACTGCTAAGAAAGATGAATTTCCAAGGCAATTTTATCCTTAGAAGAGTTTATCACTAGAGTTGTCAACTGATTTCCCAAGACATCCTCCAAGAACTGGGGATTTACAAGGGGTATCTTTCTATCTGGAGTTGGGTTCCGTCCGAAAAGGGACTGTCAGGTTCTGATATCTGGGTGAGTTATTCTGGGTGGGAAACGACAGAGGGGGGTAACGGATGGAAAGACAAGAGATAGATGGGTAGGTAGGGGTGTCCCTAGGGGTGTGTGGAAGATGTGGACCATGCTGGGGACACAAAATGACTATATGATTTTTATACAGTGTTTCAGCAGAAATTTATTATTTTAAAAAATATATCCCTGTAGTTAGTTATAACAAAATTATTTTTCATAAGGCCAGTTTACATGTATCAGTATACCTATGAGGCTAAAATATTTTGGTACTTTACTCCTGGAGCCTTCTAGTGCACTCCGCTCCATTCCAGTGGTTATCATCCAGTGACAGTGACACTTGTCATTCTGTGATTTTGTCTGCAGGCAGTATGACTACTTGCTGCTGTTTTTGTTGCTGCTGCTGATTTTATAGTAGCTGATTTTGTCACATTTTCCGGTGTTTTACCTACAATGTTGTGATTCCTAGTATTTCTGAACCTATGTCAAAAACTTTTTGAGAATGATTTTGTAATTCAGGAAACAAAGGAGAAAAGAAAAGGCTTCTGCTCAGCTACTAATAAATAATGTTGTAACTAATAATGTTGTATTAATGTAGAAAGGTTTCACCAAACAATTTGTTGCTAATCCCACTGCCTTTGAGTCAATTCCGACTTACAGTGACCCTATAGGACAGAATAGAACTGCCCCATAGGTGTCTGAGGCTGTCATCTTCACGGAAGCTGATGGCCACATTTTATTATCTTGCAGCTGCTGCTGTATTCAAACCCCTCATCTTTCTGTTAGCAGCCCAACACTTAACTCATTGCACCATCTGGACTATTTGTTGTTGGTATGCATTACTCTAAAACTATTACATTTAAGCAATTTACAACCATATGTATCACATAATGGAGCCGTGGTGCGTCACTGTGGGATAAGCACTCAATCACAAGGTAGGTTTGAACTGCTAGGTCGGCAGTTAAAATCCATCAGTCGCTCCTTGGAAACCCTATACAGGGTCGCTATGAGTCGGAACCGACTTGCGACATGTAACAACAATAGCAACAGTCTATGATTGTTGTTGTTGTTAAGTGCCATCAAGTTGATTCTGCCCATAGCGACCCTGTATAGGGTTTCCCAGGAGCAGCTGGTGAGCTTAGACCACCGACCTTGCAGTTCAAACGACTGTGCAGTCTGACGCATTAGTCCACAGCATCACACCAGATTGGTAAATAAACATTACTAAGGATTCTCTATGGTCTGCTGTGGAAGGAGGTCCATAGGGTGACGTCATGATTTACCCAGCTGGATGACACCAAGCCTGGAGACGCCACTGTGGTAGGTGGATAAGTATCAGCTTTCTGTGGGATCTGACTATCCTGGCCAGGGGCCAACAAAGCCACAAATGCATCTCAGCTGCTGTTGATGGATACAGATGTCTCCTGCCACTCACTCTATGTACTTCAGAGAGATCTTCTGTGGTTGGGCACACGCGTAAATCCGTTCCTGGATGTGCAGGGCCGCAAGTCTGAGGGCAGAACTACATTTCATTTCCACGGCAAAGCGCTCCTGGAGCACATCACTGCAGCTCTAGAAGAGAACAGGTTAGAGAAGGTGGGAAACAGGGACAGACGGAGTGAGTTCCCCAGTGCTCTCAGGGAAAGGCAGTAGGACCTCTGGGCCCTTCCTTGGCTGCGAGACCTTGGTTAAGTTACTGACACTCTAAGCATTGGTGTCTTCTCTTGCTAAAGTCTATTCAACCCAGATTTGACTGTAAGATTTAAATTAGAATGTGATATGAAAACATAAAAAACACAGTAGTTAAGCCTGGCAGCTAACTGAAAGGTCAGCAGTTTGAATCCAACAGCGGCTCCACAGGAGAAAAGATTTGGAGATCTATTTCCCATAAAAAGATTACAGCCCAGGAATCCCCTATGGTGCAAATCTACTCTGTGATATGGGGTCACTTTGAGTAAGAGCTGACTGGATGGCACACAACAAGAACAGTAACATAGGAAATAAGTATAAGGCACAAGTTTATTTTAGGCAAATATAACATCTTGTTGTATTATTTACAGCCATCATTTCTAGAAGACTTTAGGCAAAGCAGTTCATCTAGTCTTGGTTTCTTCATCTATAAAATGATAACATAAAACGAGGTTGGCCCAGGACCAGCAGTGCTTCATTGAGTTGTATACAGGGTCACTTTCAGTTGACTCTGACTCAAAGTCACCTAACAACAAAAATGGGGATGCCTGCCAGATCATTCTTTTCCATCAGAATTAAGACAACATAATAAAACCTCAGGTAGGATGGGATTCACATTTTAGAGTATGGGTAGGGATCAGTTTTTGAGTTTTTGGCCTGTCCACTACATGGGTGACCCAGGTAAATCATATCACCTTTCTTTAAAAAAAACAAACAAATAACTTTTTATAGTGAATTGGGTGAAGGTTTACAGAGCAGATCATTAGTTTTACATTCAACAAACCATACACTTTGCTTCACTATATGGTTGCAATCCTCTCCATGTACCAGCAGTTAACAGCATTTACTTCTATTCACTTTAACTACTGCATTCCTCCTGTGTCTTCCGCTACTTTCATCTGCTGCTAGCCTCCGTCTTGTTGTATATTGTCCACTCTGTAATCCATGTTAATATGTGTCTACCCTCTAGCCCATGAATAATTATTCCTCCCTTACACCCCTGTAACCATCATAGATTGTTTCTTTTATCAAGAAAACCTTTTTTTTAATTTAATTTTTTATAACATTGGTTTCATATAATGTTGGCCCTTTTGTGACTGACTAATTTCAATCAGCATAATAATGTCCTCCAGGTTCAACGATGTTGTGATTCATCATCATTCTTCAATGTTTTGTAGTATTCCATTGTGTGTATGTACCAAATAGGCTGCCTCCCTCTTTTTGATGTGTCTCTTGTAGATAGCATATTGAAGGACCTTACTTTCTTATTCGAGGAGCTCTGGTAGCGTAGTGGTTATGAATCAGGCTGCTAACCTGAGGGTCAGAAGTTTGAAACTACCAGCTGTTCCACGGGAGCTAGATGAGGCTTTCTGTTCCTGTAAAGATTTACAGCCTTGGAAAACCTGTACAGAGTCGCTATGAATCAGAACCAACTCCACGGCACATAACCACCACTTTCTTATCCGTTCTGCTCTTTATGTCTTTTGACTGGTACATTTAATCCATTTATAGTCAGTGTAATTATCAATAGGTATGAATTGATTGTTGTCTTTTTTTCTGTGTTTTTTTTGTGGTGCTGCTGGATTCTTTGTTCTGTATAATTTTCTATGTTGGGTTAATTTTGTTTGTGGGTTTTCATTTTCATTTCTGTTGCGTTCATGTTTACTAAATCTTTCTGACTTTCCTCTTTTATTGTTTTGATGTGCAGGTGTATTATTTTTCTGTGAGGTTACCCTGAAGTTTATTAATTTTTCCTCTGAGTACAACAGTCTGTTTTGGAGTCCTGGTGTGGCGCTGTGGGTTAATGCGCCAGACTGCAAAGCCGTTTGAACTGCAAGGTCGGCAGTTCAAGCTCACCAGTTGCTCCTCTTCATCTATCTCCTCTGTTGACATGTGTGATTCTTTCTGTTCCAGAATGCTGATAATTCTTTAGTTATTCCTCTTCATGTTATCCAATATGAATCTTAGGCCTTCTTCAGATTTTTAAATCCTTTTTTGCATTTGCTCTTCAATCTTAGTAGTGTTGAGAGATTTATCTTCTAGCTCACTAGTTCTGGCTTCTATCTCTTCAATTCTACTCCTTTGCCCTTTCAGTGTATTGTCCATTTCTGATATTCTATTATTAATCATTTGGACCTCCTTCTGTAGGTTTTAAACTGTTTCCAATGCTGTGTCTATTTTATTTGATTGTTCCTGTAGTACTTTCCTGACTTCTTCCTTATTTTTCTCAACTCCATTGTATAGCGTTTTGATATATTGTATAATCATTTTTCAGAATTCCTTCTCAGGTATTTCCAAAGCCTGCCCATCTTCCAGTATGGAGTGTAGGTCTACTTCCATCTCATTTGCCTCAGTCACTTTATCTCGTTTCTATACATGTGCTGATATGGTCATCTGCTTCTGTTTTTTGGACATATTCAGGAGTTATTTGTGGCCTTAATACTTAGATAGGTGTGTATTTTGGTAATTTTTTATGTTTTCTGATTGCCTCCAGGTAGATGTGATCAGAAGATAGGCTTCGATTTTCACTCTTCTTCTTTTATCTCTGTGTTTCTGTCTGGCATCCATGGCTGCTCTGACCCTTCCCCTGCTTGGTCTTACCCAAGATGGCAGCTCCAAGAACAGCTGAGCATCTTGAATTAGAAAGCAACGTGTTTCTTGCTTCTGTTACAAATTCCCCCAGTTGTAAGCCTTCCAACCTTCTAAATATTCCTTGATATTTGGTTCAGAGTTCTGGCACCATCCCCTGAGCCTGCTTGGTCTGGTATTCTGTATTGTTGCTGACAGAGCTCTTCACTGCACTTACACCTGATCTGCCATCTTGTATGTTCCCTCTGTTTGTTTTTACAAATACGAAAAGCGCACAATGGCCTGGAGACAACAGACAATTTTAGCTCACATGAAGAACAAGAGAGAATGGTTCAAATGACCAAGATGCAGACACATTTCCTGATAAACCTGCAATTAGAAATCTATCTGGCCCCCCACCCCACACTGGCATGCCTCCCAACCATGAGGCTCTGACCTCCTGCAGAGCAGGGTCTGTGCTGGGGGTGGATGAGGGCAGGAACCGGCCACACTTCTGTTTCCAGGGGGCAAAGGAGAAATCACCCCATTTCCATCACCCGTGGGAGTGCCAGGCCTTCCTCAGCTGTCCAAGCTGTGCACAAGATGGTGGAGCTCACAAGATGTCTGCCAGCCATTCACCAGTCAACCTCCCTCTCTCACCATCCCTGCTCAGCCTCTCCTCCCAGCAAGCACTCCACCTACCTCTCTAGCCTTTCTTCTGAAGTTCAGAGTGCCAGAATTTTCATCTGTGTTTGTTTTATTTTGTCTTTCATGTCTTTATTGTAAAGGGTTCATGTAGTGAGTCTGCCATCTTGCCGGAAGTCTCATATCCCCTTTCTAGGATTCCATTTTGTCATCTCTAATATGAGGCTTTTGAAGCACTAAAGCCCCCTTTAGCAATAAAATCAACAATTCTAAAGATCCTAGAGAGGTATTAGAAAATGTTATCTACACTGAAGACTTAGCCTAAGTTTCATGATTATATTACGACTCTCCTAACACAGCAGCTCAATGATGACAAAGGAATAAGCAGGCCCATTCTCCTTCAGATAAAGATAATTCCAAGGATAGCTTAATTGCCTCGTGCTATTGTTAAAAATAATCCAATGTATCATCTTTGAGAACAACCACTGCCACTTTAGGAAGTACAAACCCAGTCACCTGCAGATAGAGGTATTCAAAGGCCACAGGGTCTTCTTTCAGGAGGTCCAGGGGGTCCTTGGGAACAAAACACACCCTGAAGAGGCAGCGGTAGTTATGTGACTCTTCTTTTTCTACCACCTGCAATGGGTAAGAAAGATGCCATTAATCTTCTAACTGCCTTTGTCCTTTGCAATTTTTCTAGAAAACAATTTTAAGAAATAGAGACAATGAAAGATAGCCCTTGGAGATGTCAACATTAATCCTTTTCAAGAAAGCTGTAGACCTTTTCTCTTAGTTTGACATTCCTTTTCATGGGTATAAAATATGAAAGATTTGAAAGGGCAAATGTTCCCTCTGATCCCATCTCTCAGTTTGTTTTTCTAGAAGAACCCAGTTCGAGTTCCTAACATTCTCTTCTTGAGGCAGCTTCTATGGATGTAGATGCTTTCCTTTTCTTCACGTAATAGTATTTGTACCTTGCCTTTATTTCACTTAAACCATTTTACAGTTTGATTTGATTCTCTTTTCCAATTCAAATGGAATAGAAGTAATAAAATAAAATAGATCAAGCAACAGTATTAGAAAATGAGAGAGTGGAGTAAGAATTCATCTGCAATGAAGACTGAACAGAATGGTGTTTACAAGGTCATGCCTTGCTCATGCTGTCCCGACTTAAAAAGCCCCTTCCTCTTTTCCATCTGCTGAAATCCTCATCCTTGTAAGAGTGGGCACTCAACAAGGTTTACTGAACTGTGTTTGGCTTTGAACAGTTGCTACAGCCGGTGACTGAATGACTCAAAAGATTGCATGGTACAGACACAGCGGCTCTGTTTGCCCTCTCCTGCAACCAAGGACCAGTTCAGATGGGTAAGTCTCACAAAAAAGGCTTTTGGCTGCAGAACCAAATGCCTCCCAAACATTGAAAAAGTAGCAGGCACAGTGGATAATCATAAAACTTAAAAGATGAGGGCTCTGCCAGCTCTGTTACCTTGATTAAGTTACCTTACCTCTCTAAGCATCTGTCTTCCTGTGATAGTTAAGGTTTTGTGTCATTTTGGCTGGGCCAGGATTCTCAGTGGTTTAGCAGTTAAAAGGTAGTTATTAATTCCATAATGAGACCTAATATACTATGATGCAATTACTCCCATGATGCAATCTGATGTGATCAGCTCTGATCCCATATAATTATTCCATGTGTTAAAAATCCTCACTTCTATGCTAATGAGGTCCAATTCAATCTACAGGATTAGGTTGTATCTTGAGCATCACTTTTGAGATATAAAACAAGAGAGAACTGAACAGAGAAAGAGGGACTTACTACCACCAAGAAAAAAGAGCCAGGAGTGGAATGTGTCCTTTGGGTCTGGGTCCCTGCACTGTGAAGCATCTGGTGCAGGGAAAGATGATACCAAGATACATAGAGATCTCCAAGCAGTGTTGGACCTACAGATACTGAATGTTGGATCCACAGATGCTGTAAGGAGACAAGGATCTTTTCCCCAGAGCCAATAGAGACAAAGCCCTTAGAGCCAGCACTCTGAATTTGGATTTCTAGAGCTCTGGTAGAGTAGTGGTTACGAATCGGGCTGTGAACCTTAAGGTCAGCGGTTCGAAACTACCAGCTGCTCTGTGGGAGAAAGATGAGGCTTTCTACTCCCGTAAAGATTTACACCCTCGGAAACCCTGTACAGGGTCGCTATGGGTCGGAACCAACTCGATGGCACTTAACAACAACAAAACTGTGAGAAAATAAATTTCTGATTGCTAAAGCCGTTCACTTGTGGCTTCCTATCTACAAAATGGGGATCTTATATCTGTGCCCTGCATACCTCTTAGAAGCAGATGAAAACCGGGCCTGGTTATCATCCTATGAGTCCCAGGCACAAGGAAAGTACAGCAAACTTACTGTAGACATGCTGAGCCCTGTCTCTAAAAGTTCCAGCTGATGTGTGCAGCTTGCCCAGCTGCTCTCCCAGGAAAAGATGCCTGTCCTCCCTACCTGTTGGATGAGCTCCTCCTCGTGCAGCAGGTGCAGCCGTGAGATGCTGTACTGTTCTTCCAGGGCCAGAGCAAAGTACTCGATACTTCGGATTGACAGCTTCTCCTTCACCGTGAGGATGATGTCCTAGAGGTATAGAGAGGCACAGGATCACTCCAATTACTCCTGAGAATCAAGGAGGCCTTCATGCTTAGGCACCAACCAGGACTCAGCTTGAGCTCACAGGTTTCTCCTGGCTTTGTAGAGCAGTGTCAAACAGAACTTCCTGTGCACCCTTCTGTCCTCTGCTTTGTATTTAGAGCAGGGGTGGAGGTGGGGCTAACTATGGTCTGCAGTCCAAACCTAGCCCATGGTCTGTTTCTGTAACTAAAGCTTTATTGGAACACAGCATGTTCACTCACTACAATGACAAAGTTGAGTAACTGTGACAGAGACTGTAGGCTGCAAAGCTTCACTCACTATCTTATACTTTACAGAAAAAGCTTGCTGACCCCTGATTGAGAGGAACTTGCCTAAGCTTTGTTCGGGTTATGCTCCTCCTTGCTCAAGAACATTCAGTGAGTTCCACTGACTCCCTGGACAGAACCCAAACCTCAGTTTAATATTCAAGATGCTTAAGTATAAGGTGCCATGTAGTTTTTCTCACTTTTCTCCTGCTGCTGCTTCCAGTGCACCCTGCTGACAATCCCTATACACTTGCCAAACTTTTCCATCTCCAGGTCTCTGCTGGTGCTGATTCCCATACCCTGGATGCCGTCACCACAGACCATGTCTGGCCCATTCCTATCAAAATCATATCTATCTTCCCAAATCTGCCTCATAATCCATCATTCTAGGGATGCCTTTTTTTTTTTTTTTGTCACCCAGCTGGAAGTCCTTTCTCCTCTGAACCCACACCACACAATTTCTGTCCTTCTTTCATGCCCCTGAACACACGGTCCTGGCTCCTCACCTCAGCCCAACCCAAGACTCCAGACTTCCTAAGGACATGACCCTGAGTAATTTATTTCTGCACCACCAACAGCCATAAAAACTAGACAATTAATCACAAGGTTGGTGGTTCATACCCACCAGTCGCTCCTCGGAAACTCTATACAGGGTCGCTATGAGTCAGTATCGACTGGATGGCACTGACAACAGTCATGAAAAGTGTCATTGCTGCTGTTCATGAGGATGAATGACAAAATGTCCTTGATTTGGGGAGGGATGGAATGGGAAGTCAATGATGGTGATTTTTTTCCTTTTTCACCTATTAAATTTGCTTATACCATTTTCTCTCGGTGTCACAAAGAGCTAAAAGATTGGATTTTTTTAAAATGTTGGCTATAACAGTATTAGACTGGCAAAGTCCTTGCTCATTTCCCCACTCTATCTATCATTTTGGGCTTACTTCTCCTGTGATGTGTGCTTTCATTGTAAATCACTTCTAAGTCTTTTTGTCCACCAAAGGGGGACACACTTTAAATAAATCATCCCTTCTCTTCCAGCCCACTTTGATCACAGATGACAGAAGCAGAGCCCTTGTCTAATTCGTTGTCAAGCCTTCCCTTTTATGCAGCAGGGCAGAGCAGCAAGCTTCAACGTAGGACCCAGAGAGACCACCTCTGAAGCCAGTCACAAGCTAGCTGACTGTGGCAAGGGTTTCATCTCTTAGGCCTGTTTCCTTGTCTGCAAAGTGGGGATAACACTGGTCACTTCCAAAGATCACGAGGGGCATTAAATGAGGCAATATTCAAGAAAGTGCCAAAAGAGCGTCTGTAAGGTAGTACCAAAAAGCCAAAAAGCCAAGGTCATTGGGGTCAAGTAGCTTCCAAATCAGAGCGACCCTATGGGAAGAGTAGAACTGCCCCCAGGGGTTTCTGAGGCTGTAATCTTCACTGCAAGGAGCTCTGGTAGCATAGTGGCTATGAATCAGGCTGCGAACCTTGAGGTCAGCAGTTCGAAACTACCAGCCACTCCGCGGGAGAAAGATGAGGCATTCTGTTCCCGTAAAGATTTACAGCCTCAGAAACCCTGTACAGGGTCGCTATGGGTCGGAACCGACTCGACGGCACTTAACAACAACAACAACAATCTTCACTGCAGTAGACCACCACAGCTTTCTCTGGTAAGTTTGAAGTATTGACCACCCAGTTACCAGCCAGGTGCTTAACCACGGCACCACCAAAGCTCCTGGCATGTAATGACCACTCAATAAAACCAAGGCCATTCCTCCCGGAGGACACAACTCATCTAGCCTAGCGTTTCCCAGGTTCAGAAGGGCTTTCTCCAGCCTCTTCTCAGTCACACTCTCAGGAAGGGAAGAGTGAGACAGAGCTTTTGGAGCAGCTCTAGGAAGGTGCCAGGAAAGAGCAGTGGGTGCATGTGCGTGTACACGTATGCCTGAGTGTGTGGATCAGTGTGCCTGTGCATGTGTGCATGTGCTTACGTCTTGGGAACTGCGCGTTACTGATAGCCCACTGGCCCGCCTTCCCCCAGCATCATGAGATCCTCTTTAATGTATTTTAACGTTCGAACAACTCCTTGAATTGTCTGCTTCTTTACTGAAGCCTCACTCGAGCACTATTTACTCCTTTGTTCAAAAACTATTAGTGCCATCGCTTATTGTATTCCGATCAAATCCAAACTCTGTAGCCTGGCATTGAAGGCTCCATAGTCAGCCTGTGTCATCTCTTACTCTTCTCTCTGCCCCCCAGGAAGCCCGCCTTGCTCCAGCACATTGGATAGCTCACTGTTTTTAAAGCAATGTTTCATTTTACTGGCTCTCTGCATTACTTCATACCACTCCTCAGATTGATGTCCTCCCCACTTCCAACTGCCCTGTCCCCCCTGCCTTTCCTGAAATCTTTGTTGACCTCCAAGGTCCAGCTCAAGTGCCAGCTTCTTATCAAAGTCTTGTCTGATGTTTGGCTGGGGTGGAACAGGTTGTGTTGTCTCCTTTGTTCCTTGTCCCTTTTTATGGTCCTTATGTCATCTTGCCCTGGTCTACTTGGAACTCCTTAAATGTCCACTCTCCATTAACTGGATTGTGAGCTTCTTGAGGACAAAGGCCACTTTTACTTAACTCTGTACTCCGCTCAATGCATTTCAGGATGGAGGCATTTGGTCAGTTGAACTGACTTCAATGCAGAATAGACTATGTGGGGAGCTGGGTCTCCTTTGCTACCTTAGCTGGGTTTCTGGCCATTCTAGTCTTTTGGATGGAGTAACACATGAGAGGAAGAGAAATCCAGCAGTTAAGGGTGAATTAGTGTGGTGCTGTAGGATAAGCATTGGATTGATAAATTCAAGGTCAGCAGTTCAAATCTACCAGCTGCTCCTTGGAAACCCTGTGAAGGCTTGTTATGAGTTGGAACCAACCTGATGGCATTTAATAACAACAACAAAAGTGGTTACGAGACTAGTTGTAATATGACTCTGGGAAAGTCACTTCTCTTTGAGCCACAATTTCCTCCCCTGCAAGATGGTGATAAAAATAGAGTTTTGTTCAGTGGTTGTGCAAATAAACAAGATTAATACAAAGTACTTGGTTTATTACAGATGCTCAGATCATGGAGGTTGTAAGACCTGAAGAAGAGTTATAGGGCAAGATGCCTGGGGCTCAGCGAATCCTTACTAGGAAAGAAAATTGATTTTAGTCTTAATACCTTCACAGTTGTGTTTGCCTCGAACTTGAAAGCTTTGGTCTGTCCATTCTCCAAGTACAGCTTGAGTACATTAGGCATACACAGCAGAGAATTACCCTGGAAAACACGAAAATCATGTTAAAACCAGTCTTTGCTATCTTTGTAGTGACAAATCCCCAGCCAGTCCCAGCTTCTTCTCTAACCTCCTCACCACGCCATGGGTTGATTTTTGGCATTTGGGAACTTCTGTAATGGACCCAGCCTAAACCATAGAAAGTAAGGCACACTTTGCCAACAGACACAAGAACTGTCAGACATGACAGGTGGTGGAAAAGAGGGAGTTCTGGTATGAGCATGTTGCTATCACCGCATGAGCCTGCACAATGTCTCTCAAGCATCAGCTGGCATTCACTGCTGGCTGGCACCTTTGTGGGATGCAATTTGGCAAATAAGATGGCAAGCAGGCACACTGTCCAAAACAGACCTTTCAGAGATTCTTGGACCCAACCTTGTGGGTTGGACAGCTCCTTCAGACTGCCCTGTTTTACAGCTGCATTCCTTGTAGTGATGGGCAGAGGAAGGCTCCCTGTTGCCACTCCTCTCAGCCATCATCCCTGAACTGTGAGGTCTCAAATGGACCTGCATGCTTGGAGGACTCTTGGGAAGGAGGCACAGGAATAGTCCATGTTTGCTACCCAGAATTCCTGGTGTGGGGCAGGGCAGTGGGAGAATTAACTTTAGAATTTGCCTGCCAGAAGAATTCTCCCAGGACTAGCTTTCCTAAAGGGCGAGACCTAAATGTTAGCTGCAAGTAAAAAGATTCTTTGTGGTGGATGGCCTTCAGAACCAGTAAAAAGAAATTCAAAGACTGGAACTAGAACTCCCCCCAGCACTTGTCTCTGCAAAGAATTTGGGAATAAAGCCCACATTAGTAAAGAAGCTTATAGACTGTTTTCAACAAAACCTGGCATTCTCTCAGGACCATAGTTTTGGGTGACACCATGGTCAGTTGGCATAGTCTACAAAGACAATGTTCTACATCCTACTTTGGTGTATAGAGTCTAGGATTTTAAATGCTCACGAGTTGCCATCTAAGGTGCAGCCACTGGTCTCTCCATGTGCAGAAGAAAGAAGAGTGATGAGAACTGAAGAAGACACGTGGAATCAATCAGTCCAATGGACTAATGGAACACGTGAACATCAGTCTCCATGACTCTGAAACCAGAAGAACTAGATGGTGCCCAGCTAACAACTGCTCTGAAAGGGATTACATCAGAAGACCCCAGATAGGGTGAGAGAAAATGTGGAACAAAACTCAATTACAAAAAAACTCAATTATAAAAAATACCGGGCTTAACAAGGACATAGCCATAGAGAGCTAGAGCTGAGAGCAAAGTGTCCAGCTGATATGAAGTGAGGGGAGACACATAAGAACATCCAAACTTGTAAACCCATTTGACCTAACTTCGATAGTTTGACGATCAGAACTTGACTAGAGAAAGATTAAAAAATTTTTTTGATAAAGGAAACAAGTGTAAATTGCTACAATTTGATGAGCTTGACTTATACTATGGATGTAGTAGCTCAAAATACTAACTGAGAGGGAAGGAGTCTTCACGTCAAGGATCAATCCTATCCCCTCTGTATATAAGGTTGATAGGGACAGGCAACTTAGACATTGACTACCTAAAATGGGGGAGCTATAAAGACACAAAGTGACCAAGTTACAAGTTTTCAAGAGGGAGTTTACTTCAGACTATGCAGGGGAAGGTAGAACCCTCACTGAATAGTTTTCATCTTGTCTAGATGGGTTTGGTGAAAGGAGATGGGGACAAGATTCTTATGATTCAACAGTGAGTAACGGTTATCATGACTAATTGCGACTGTCACAACTGTAAAGGTAGAAGTTTTGTAACAAAAAGAGGGAGTAGTTAATCTTACAGTCCAGAAACAGAGGATGCTAGAACCATCAAGGGAGAAGAGCATGAGCAGAATTAGGGACCCTATCCAGAGAAGCAGTGACACCAGAGATGGAGACAGAGATGAGGACAGGGAGAGAGGGAGCAGATAAGGACTCTAGACTCATGGAAAGAGAAAGGTTGTGTGCTGGAGGCCAGGTGCTGGTGGCCAGGAGGCAGTCTCGCAGAATGTACCCTTAGGTTGTCTAAATGATTATATATTCCTGAGTGTTTATCCCCCACAAAAACAAACACACCAGAGGGAATAGAGCAAATACTGTTAAATGACAAGGCACGGTGGAGATTGTAATCATTGCAAAAAAGGATGAGTGTAAAAAAAAAAAAACTGTGCTTGACCAGCCTGGAACAGCTAGAAGAACAGAAGATACTTCTTGAAAGAAAGACCTACAGGAAAAATACAAAATAATATAGGCAGACTGCCTGTTACTACAAGAACAAGCAAATTACTTGCCCAGGAGACATCAAGGCAAGTGGTCAGGTCCCCTCAGTGCAAACTCTCTTCCAAGACTAAGACTCAATGGGAATACATGCTTTGATTGGTGACCACGCTCGTCACCCATAAGGGGAAGTGAGGGAAAAACAGCAATGAAGCAGCGAGATAACCCCTACAATGTTCAATAGACTCCTGTGAACCCGGGTGGAGACCTGGTCGGCCAGCAGTATGGCAAGACCTGGGGACTCTTGGGCCCAAAGTCAATGACACAGCCACAGAGGACTAGAGTGGAGAGTGAAGGGTCCACCTGATAAGAAGAGATGGGATATGTGCAAGAACATCCACACTTGCAGATAATACCCACTTGACCTGGCTTCAATGACTGGATGATCAGAGCTCAACCAGAAGAAGAAAGAAGAGGGAAAAAGCATAATCTGATTCAATTTGATGAACTTGATCTACACCTATGGATGCAGTAGCTCAAAAGAGGAAACAAATCCTTACTGTAAGAATCATTCCCACTCCCTCCACACACAGAGTAGACAGGGATAGGCAACTTGAACATTGGCTACCCAAAATGGGGGGGCTACAAAGGCAAGAAGTGACTGGCTTACAAGCTTTCAAGAGGGAGCCTAGATCCAGAGGGTGTGGAGTAAGGTAGAATCTCCAGGGAGTAGTATCCAATCTGTCCAGGCAGAGCTGATGAAATGAAATGCAGATAGGTCTCTTGGGATACAATAGTGAATAATTGTTATCAAGACTGATTGTGAGGGTTGGAAAAGTAAAGGTAGACGTTTTATAGCAAGGAGGGGAGTGATTAACTTTTCAGTCTAGGAGCGGAGGTCCCTAGGACCATTAAGGGAGAAGAGCAGAGAGCGGAACCCTACCCAGAGAAGCAGTGATGCCTGAAGTGGAGAGATGGAGGTGGGGGGGGGGGAGGGGAGGCAGGCTTGTAGGGTATACCCTTTGGTTGGTTGATGGAGGGGACTGTAACCGTGGCAATGAAATGATATACGATAGAATGAATGTAAAACTAATGTTCTCCTGTGTAAACTATTGCATAATTCACAATAAAACATTTATAATAAATAAATAAATAAGTAACTGTGCTTAAGATTTAGAAAGAGACTAGAGGAATCAGAGACTATGGCCCTCAGCCATCCTCTAAGTCTGGAACAGAACTCACCCTCGTGACCAAATTTTCAGTCAAGTGGTAGATAGGTATATAGGGAAAGGTATGCTCACCATGGGGTGGTCAACCATTCAAGATCAAAAGAGTAACATTTACTTAAGGACAAAGTTCAGAAGGGTTGAGAAAGAGGGTGGAATGGAAATCAGAACCACAGGGAGGCCGTGGGTAACTGTGGTTACATGGAGAGGGTTGAGATGAAACCAAATAAATGTAACACTGAAACCTGTAGATGTAACACTGATGATCTCTGCAAACCTCCATTCAATTAATAATAAAATATTTCAAACAAGACAAATAAACCAGACAGGCTTTTTTAGATGACAATCGGGTATCTTCTAAATATGTTGTTGTTTTTGCTTAAGTGCTGTTGAGTTGGTTCCGACTCATAGTGATCCTGTATAGGGTTTCCAAGGAGCAGCTGGGGGGCTTGAACCACAACCTGTGGCTTGCAGTTCAGTGCTGATCCTACAGCACCACACCAGTAGCCCAGCTTCTGAATATAAGAACCCTTATATCTTCTAAGGAAGACTCACACCGACTGCTCTCTTCACTCTATAATTTTTTTTTTTTTTTTCTTAAACAGCATTTTTCAAAGAAGAAAAAGAAATATGTTCACATTCCAGAGCCATTTCACACTCAATCAGGGATGGAGGATTTCAAACCGCTCACTGGACTGGGATTCTGCTTCTGTGGTTTCAGGCATTAGGAAGTCTTATCATTTGGACTTCCCAAGTGGGAAACATTTCACTTTATTTATTCTGTATTACTTGTGATTTGAAATGTTTACCAAAGCAACACATTCATAACCACTATACATAACTTTCATTCTTTATTTTTCTCTAAGACTCTGGTAGCGTAGTGGTTATGAGTCGGGTTGCTAACCTCAAGATCCGTAGTTCAAAACTACCAGCCGTTCCATGAAAGAAAGATGAGGTTTTCTACTCCCATAAAGATTTACAGCCTCAGAAACCCAATGTATGGTTGCTACGAGTCGGAAAGGACCCCACGGCACACCACCACCACCACCACCACAAGGCCACTTCTAGCTTTTAACTACACCTTTAAATATTAGAAAATGCACAATTTCACCTTAGTTTTTTGCCTAACACTTATTTCATGTCCACTTTTCCATGTGGGCTTAAGGGTTATAATTTTAATGGTTTTATAATATTCTCTGGTAGTGTAGTGGTTACGAATCAGGCTGTGAACCACAAGGTCAGCAGTTCGAAACCACCAGCTGTTCCGCAGGAGAAAGATGAGGCTTTCTGCTCCCATAAAGATTTACAGCCTCAGAAACCCTGTACACGGTCGAGTCGGAACCGACTCCATAGCACATAACAACAATAACAACTAAATTGAAATCGCAAAAATGTTTAACTATTCCTTTACTTATTGTTTGGCAAAGAAGATGGAATATACTATGGACTTCCAGAAGCACAAACCAGTCTGTCTTGGAAGAAGTACAGAAAGAATGTTCCTTAGAAGCATAGATGGTAAGACTTCATCTTACGTATAGCAAGACTTCACTGCACATGCTACCGGGACCAGTCTGTGGAAAATGACACATGCTTGGCAAAGTAAAGCACCAGAGAAGAAGAGGAAGCTCCTCAATGAAATGGACTGACATAGTGGTTGTAACATTGGGCTTAAACATAGGGACAATTGTGAGGATGCGCAGGATCGGACAGTGTTTCATTGTGTTGTACATTGTTGTTAAGAGCCCTCGAGTCGATTCCAACCCATATAAGTCAAAACTGACTCAATGGCACCTAACAACAACTATCTACTATTAGACATTTAGGAGTTATCTTTTTTTCCCATTTGCTATTTTAAATATTACCACTATTTTTGTTGTTGTTAAGTGCCTTTGAGTCAGTTCTGACCCATAGCGATCCTGTATAGGGTTTCCAAAGGGCAGTTGGTGAGCTTGAACCACCGACCTTGCATTTCAACCTGACTTTGCAGTCCAGTGCATTGACCCACAGTGCACTATAAATATCCTTAAACACATGGATTTTTGTATTTTAATTATTTTGCAGATTAAATGAATAGGAATACAATCCTGGACCAATTTTTATGGCATTCATTAGTTCACTGAGCTATGTGTTTTACCCTAGCAAAGTGTGGAATCACATTTAGCTTTTGGTCTTGGTTCCTGAGAGCCAGAGCAACACCTGAGGCTAATGGGGGAAGGGGGGTGTCTGACCAGCCTAAGAGGGATTAACTGGGGGTTTGATGCTAATGAAGTCTCATGTGGCATGGTATCATCTCTCATGGTCATGTGGTGAAGCCAGTAAGAGCTTGGAACCTGAGGTTCACATGGCACTTCCTATTTGGTGTCAGGACATGGGAAAGGGCAGTGTGTCCCCTTGAGATACGGAACCTCCATGCTCTGACCTCTCTCTCACAGCCCTCGCCCTATTCATCTCTTCATCTGAATCCTCTTTGGTTGTATTAAAGCTGTTACTGAAATTTTTGTCTCCTATGCGCTCTGTGAGTTGTTCTAGCAACAAGTCTGAAGTAGAAGGAGTCATGGGAACTCCTGGCCTTGCACAGGCTAGTACTTTGGGGGGTTAGAAAAAGACCCCAAATTTAGGGCTATCTGGTCTCAAATAAAGGGAGTAAACTCGGAGCTGTAGCTGGTACTCGCTGATCTAGCCCTGATGGAGAGAGCTGAAAAAGAGGAGGCTCAGACATGGAGAGTCCTGAGGGCTCCTGAGCTAGCAGCCGGTACCTGCTGGCCTAACTCCAGGTAGCTAGGGATGAGAGAGAGAAGGGCTGTCTAAGCAGATGGAGGCTGAACTAAATAGGGAAGGGAAGCCGAGATTTCCACAGGACGCATCTAGTCTGTGGCGTGGAGTTTACTATCTATCACACAATTAAGTGTCAGAGAGTGGCTGATCTTTGTCTCCTTGGACTGGTTTGCATAACTGACAGAGTTGGCGAGATTCACTAGAACAACCCAGACATCATAACCCATCCTACCCCCACTGCCCCACCAAGATTAAACCAATTTACAGAGCCGCCAGCATCAGGGCTTGCATTAAAAAAAAAAAAAAAAAAAAAAAAGTGCTCACTTAATAAGTATAAAATGACATTTCTTAGCATTTTCCTTTGTATCTCTTTAGCTATTAGCAAGACTACACATATTTTATAAATGTTGGTTTACTATTCTAGATTCTTCAACATCTTTCTGCAGAGGTCTCATTATATTTCAAAAGGGAAAGTTTAACACCAAATTTTATCATCTTTCAAACCTGTGGAGATCTGACTAGACCACAGTGTTCATCTCTTACTGGTTTTATTGTCTCTGTATCTAAGTCACACGTATTGGGCTCCTGCATTTCCTTGCTATGTGACCAGAGAGGTTCATTTTCTTCACCTCTTTCAATCTCCATTTCCTCATCTGTTCAAATACCAACATTGCAGGGCTATTATAGTGAATAAGGATTATATACACATAAAGTTTAGGTACACACAACACAGGTTCAATAGATGATGATCTCTTGAAAAAAAAGAGCAGTTTCCCACTACCTTTACTGTATGTATATATAACAACTTCAGAAAGAAACGACAGTCCAAATGCTAAAAGATTCATAGCAACAAGTTACCAATTGAAGTCCATCAAAATTTCATGGACAGGAGGATGAATTACTTCCATTGTGTCTCTCCCTGGCTGCCACCAGAGACCAGAGACTCCACCCACCCCTCCCTGTTCATAGTCTGAAAGTATCTCACTGGGAGGGACACAAAAGTGCTAACTCCCTCTGTGACCATTCCTGTGAGTCAGGGAGTTAGTTATGTGTCAGGGGGCGGCCACTCCCCAGCTTCATGAGGAGTCTTTCAGTCCCCTGACAGGTGACAGACCTGGCTGTGGCCACTGACGAGCACTTCCTCAGCAAAGTGCACCTTCACAGGATTGGTCTTCAGTCTGGCTCTCTTCTCCTCAGTCAGGAAGGATGACTTGGGGACGCCCTGCAAAACATTAAACATAACACATTTTAGAACAATACTTTCACAGAAGGCTTGTCTGTCTTCTCATTTCTTATAAACACTTTGAAAGTTGTTGCGGATTCTATTAAAATACACAACTCATAAAAGATTTCTTTGTTTAAAATCTAGGGATCCCAGCTCAGACAATGCTCTTATGAGACTGAGAGCAGCTGAGGATTCAATATAGTGGCAAAATGGTTGTGGTATGATGAAGACCATGAGAAGTGGTCTACAATTCCAAGCCAAGTTCTACTACTCAACAGCTGTGAGAACCACCTCAAGCACTGATGATTATGGAAGCAAACCAAAGGGGTCTGTGTGGGTGTGGCTATGTGTGTGTACAAAACAAAGTCGCTCTATACATGTGACAAATGTTGGCCAGCTCATTCCCTTTCCTCTTGGGGCTTCAGTCTTCCTATCTGTACAATGTAGAGTTAGACAAGAAAACCTCCAGGGATCTTTCAAGCTCTGGCCTCTGTGAACTCTTCTTGGATTGTCTATTCTTCTGGATGGTACCCTCTTTACCAAGAGGTGAGAAGAGTCATTATAGACTGGTAGAAGTACATGGCATTCCACCAAACTGTGACACTTGATGAACAGGAACTTTGAATGATCTAGACCAAAAAGATGTGATCTACCTGGATGAAATCCTGATCCAATACTTGCCATCCTGGTACCCTATGTTCTCTTCATCTGGACAGTCCTTTAGGCCAGCCTCTAGATTGTTTACATGTGGAAGAGCTCTGAGATGGAGCTCTGAGTTTTGAGTTCTATGTAGACAAGGAAAGAGATACACAACAGCCACCATTTGTGTATCTCTTCCCTTGGCTACATAGAACTCAGGGAAACTGCTGGAAATACTGCTGACAGACTAACACATGAAATGAGTGACAATGTTTTCTTCTAAATTTTATTTGGTTGTTGCTGTGAATATATATAGCAAAATGTACACCAATTCAACAGTTTCTACATGTACCACTTAGTGATATTGATTCTATTCTTCCAGTTGTACAGCCATTCTCACCCTCCTTTCCTAAATTGTTCCTCCCTCATTAACATAAAATGAACCTAAGGTTCCCATCTAATGTTCCCAGATGCTGTTATCAATTTGATCTCACATAGATAATTCTTAAAAGACACCTTTTTTCACTAGTTAAGCAAAACTACTGTTCAGTTTTAAGATTTCAGGGGATATTGCTGGTTTAAGGGTTAAAGGTTATCTCAGGGCAATAGTTTCAGGGTTTTATCAACCTCCATGATTCCAAGCAGTCTGGAGTTAATGAGAGTTTGAAATTCTGTTCTGCAATGACCCCTTTTGATCAGGATTCTTTTACGGGATCTTTGATTAAAATGTTCAGTAACGGTAGCCAGACACCATCCCGCTCTTCTGGTCTCATTGTTCATGAAAGTAATAGACACACATTCCATTTCCTCTTCCTATTCCTAACTCCTTCTTCTTCTGTTGATGAAGATAAATAGAGACCAACTGTTGTGCCTTAAATAGCTACTTGCTAGTTTTCAAGACCCTAGGCACTGTACAATGAATTAGGAGGTAAAACAGAAGCACTGAACATGTTATTAGGCCAATTAACTGGGTTGTCTTATGAAATCATGCCCTCATCCTCCAAATCAAAGATGTTTGGTTGTACATAAGCAATCTCACCACCTACTCTTTTTGTTGTTGTTGTTCCCTGTTGTAAACATATCTATAACACAACACCTCATGACATGAATGAATTTGGAGGACATTATGATGAGTGCAATTAGGCAATCACCAAAGGTCAAATATTGTATGAGACCACTGCTGTAAGAAGTGTAGAAAAGATTTTCTTGATAAAGGAAAATTTGAATGATGGTTACCAGGAGTGGGGATGAGGGAGGGAAAAGTATTCACAGACTAGAGGGAAGACACATGATAACATGGGTGACAGGGCAGACAATCGACAATGAGAGAGGTTGGCAGAGGAAAAATGAAGGTAGTGGGGAACACAGGGAGGAATTCAAGGTGAAAGTGAATAGTAGTAAATACTGTTAACTGATGGTACATGGAGGAGACTGCAATCACTATAATGAAGCAAAGTATATCATCTTTCTAATGATATACTTTTCCAAAACTGATGATCTGTTCTATAAGCCTTTATTCAATTCACAATAAAAAGTTTTTAAAAATTCCCACTAAACCTTATGAATAGCAGTAGAACATGGTCAGATATAATGCTAGAAGATGAGTCCCTCAGGTTGGAAGACACTCAAAATATGACTGATTTGGCAGTTATGTAACGATATAATTTGACAATTATCTAATGATATAATCATCTCCCATAATATGATCTGATGTGATCAGTCAATCAGTTATATGGGGATGAAGCTGGGATGCAACATCAGCCCTGATCTGATGTAAGGGGAGTTTACCTGGGGAATGTCCTACATCACCTTTTCTCCTACAAGGGACAAAAGGAGAGAGAAGTAAGCAGAGAAGGAGGAGCCTGAGTGCCACCATGAAACAAGAGCCAGGAGCTGTGCATGTCCTTTGGACCAAGGTCCCTCATTGAGAACTTCTGGGGCCTAGGTAAAGGTTGATGCTAAGACACATGGAGATCTCCAAGGGATGCTGGACCTACATCCCTTGTTGAAAGGAAAAAGGACCTTCTCTTAGAGCCAACAGAGGGAGAAATCCTTTCCAGCTCGTGCCCTGAATCCAGACTTCTAACCTCCCAAACTGTGAAAGAATAAATTTCTGTGTATGTTTCATTATAGCAGCTCTAGTTAACGAAGACATAATCTTATAGGTGGCTCCAACATTAGTTACACAGTACTATGATTCAGATATATAGTTTGCTTAAAAACATTTTTTTTTTTTTTTTTAGTCAAAGGGAAAAGAGAAAAGGTACACCGACTGAAGAAATGTCTCAACTTTTATTTTGCTGTCTTCTTCAAGCAGAATGGTCTTCTAATCAGAAAAGGTAGAAGCCATAAGTGAAAGAGAACACTGCAATTTAAAATGAACAATGAGACTGAAAGACTTTTAAATGAGTTCAAGATTCCTATACCAGGTGGCTCTAGGGCATGGTGGACCTATAATATGTGACAGTTGACATCACCTACAGAACACAGAATGGAGAAATATTAGGAGACTAAAGATAACCAAGTATCAATTTTACCAGATTCATGAAAACACATATTGGTAAGCTTGTTGTTAATTCTTGGTAAAATCCAAGACAAGAGATGGCCAGAAAACGTTTAGATAAGATAATGATCACTAACAAACAGTATGGATTTATCAAGAGCAAGTAATTAAGTTCATTTTTCTTTTGAAGACAGGATTCTGGGTTGGTAGGCCAGGGTCCTATGGATAGAGCAGCAGTCCTTCATTCTTGGAAAGCATTTCATAAGGCCTCTTACAAGACTCCTTTGGAGAAGACCAGATACAAAGCCATTAATCCACTGACTACCATTGAGTTGATTCTGACTCATAGTGATCCTGTGGGACAAAGTAGAATTGCCCAGTAGGGTTTCAAAGAGTTTCAAATGTTTACAGAAGCAGACTGACACATCTTTCTCCTGTAGAGCAGCTGATGGTTATTACTGCCAACCTTTGGGTTAACAGTTGAACATTTAGCCATTGTGCCACTAGTGCACCTTACAGAACCTGTAGGTAGATGCAAAACAAGTCAATCTACACTCAAAATAGACTTAAATTTGAATTAAGTAATGGTGACTTCCTTGGGTTCAGTCCTCACCAATGACGTTTAGAAATGACTTGGATGAAATCATAGAAAGTAGATTTACCAAATCTGTGAATGGCACAGAGCTGAGAGGTGTCATCAGATCTCAGATAGCAGAAATTTGAAAGAGAAGATCAAGGTATTGTGACTCTAAAAGAAATGTGCACGGGAAACTTGTGGACCAGGGACTGCCATGGTCTAAGGCTAAGGAAATGACCATAACAAACATAAAAAGGTATAAGAATGGCAGGGTTGTCAAGGGCTGAAAGGAACAGAAGTGAGGAATCAAAGCAATAAGTACAACCATCATCACCTAAAAGATTCAAAAGAATGGGAAATCAGGAAAGGACAGACGAAAAAAGAATAAAAGAAAAGCAATTTACAAGAGACAACAGCTGTTGCTTCTCACACTAGGTAATGCAATTCTGCAAGAATTAGGCCCAGAGATGGATCAAGCTAAAGGAAATCAACTGGAAGAGGCTGAGGGTGAGGGGAAGACAAGGAAGTGGGGTAGACTTGGGAAGAGGTGGTTCCCTGACAGAATTGATGATTATACAAACATGGCTCCCCGCCCCACAATCCCCTAACCACAAAACCTCAGCATGCAAGAACACTGGGCCAAAGTGATACAATTTGACAGGGATTAATGAGAAGTGTTATATGAAGAAAAATGTGGCATCAGGATTGAAGGAAGAGTCATTAACAACCTGTGATATGCAGATGATACAACCTTGCTTGCTGAACATGAAGAGGACTGAAAATATTTACTGATGAAGATCAAAGAGCACAGCCTTCAGTATGGATTGCATCTCAATGCAAAGAAAATAAAAATCCTCACCACTGGACAAATAAACAACATTCTGATCAACGGAGAAGAGACTGAAGTTGTCAAGGACTTCATTCTTCTTGGATCAACTATCAACACTCACGGAAGCAGCAGTCAAGAAATCAGATGACGTATTGCATTAGGCAAATCTGCTGCACAAGACCTTTTTAAAGTGCTGAAGAGCAAAGATGTCAGCTTGAGGAATAAGGTGTGTCTGACCCAAGCCACGGTATTTTCAATAACTTCATATGCATGCAAAAGCTGGACAGTGAATAAGGAAGACAGTAGAAGAATTGATGCTTTTGAGTTATGGTGTTGGAGGAGAATATTGAATGTGCCATGGTCTGCCAAAAGAACCAACAGATCTGTGTTGGAAGTGCAGTCAGAGTGCTCCTTGGAGGCCAGGATGGCCAAACTTTGTCTCTCATACT